ACATCATTGTTTCCACTTCACTTGACGCCACTATGCGCATATGGGCTACAGAGGATGGCAAGTGCATCCGGGAAATTCCAGATCCAGATGCCTCTGAGCTGCTCTGCTGCACTTTCCAGCCCATGAACAATAATCTCACAGTGGTGAGTGAAGGCCTAGGATATAGTGCCCCTGCCCACTTCTGCCTGAGCTAATAAACAAAGCACTGGGCCTTTCCCCTACATGGAACATGTGCTTGCATACAGTTGAGGTTTCTTCCTTTCTCCCCACCCCCAAATGATGTAGGTACGGAATAAGTGAGCTGAATCAAAAGAAATGGGGACTGGAATCAGTACTGCTGGGGGTGAAGCAAAGGCAGTCTGGTCACAAGTCAAAGGGACTTGGCACAGATAAAAACAAACTTCCTCCTCTAGGTGTTTCAGGTCCATAATTAACCAAGATGGTGGTGAGGGGAGAGTCTCTTGGGGGGTAAGAGGAAAGGAAGAGTGTGTGCCTGTTGCTCATTCTTCTGCTCTGTGGAATAGTATGAAACTGACATCTTTGTTTGTCCATAAGGTGGGGAATGGAAAGCACAACCTCCATGTGGTGAACATCTCAACAGGGAAAAAAGTGAAGGGTGGCTCAAGCAAGCTAACTGGCCGAGTGCTGTCTCTCTCCTTTGATTCCCCTGGCCGTATCCTCTGGGCAGGAGATGACAAAGGCAGCATATTTTCTTTCCTCTTTGATATGGCAACAGGTGAGTGGAGTGGGATGGGGAGCATAGTAAGGACAAGGATTAGCACAGATTGGCTTCAAGCCCTCTGCTTCCTTCTTCCCCCCTGCAGGAAAACTGACCAAGGCAAAACGGCTGGTAGTTAACGAGGGCAGTTCTATCACCAGTATCTCGGCCCGCTCTTGGATCAGCAGAGAAGCACGGGACCCCTCCCTCCTCATCAATGCATGTATTAACAAGCTGCTGCTATATAGGTGAGGGGCTTTCCATGGCATTGCCATGCTAGAAGACAGACGCTTGCTCTACTCATATGTGCAGAGTGCCAATGAGCCCCATATTAGAGGATAGAATATGTGATACATGTTTGTGTAATGCATGTGCAGAGAAGCAGTTTGCTATGATTAAGCTATTTATCCATTGTCTGTTCTTGGCTACTTTTTCCTGACAGGGTAGTGGACAACGAAGGGACACTCCAGCTTAAGAGAAGTTTCCAGATACAGCAGAGCTCGCATCCTGTCCGCAGCATCTTCTGCCCCCTCATGTCCTTCCGCCAGGGAGCTTGCATTGGTATGATGCCCATGAGAGTTCACTCTCATTGTAAAGGGGATGCTGGACAAGACATTCTCACTTGGAATTTCTTGCAGGTTGCCACTTCCTTGCCTGCAACTCTGCTCCTGCACGCAGCTAATCTGTATGACACATAATTATTGCAGAGCCTAGTCCCCTCACCCCACAAAAAACAAACAAACAGGGAAGCTTTTGTCCCCTCTAATTACTTCTCTTTGTGCATTTCAGTGACCGGCAGTGAGGATATGTGTGTCTACTTCTTTGACGTGGAGCGAGCTACCAAGGCTATAGTCAACAAACTACAAGGTCATAGTGCTGCTGTGCTGGATGTCAGCTTTAACTGTGATGAGAGCCTGCTGGCGTCCAGTGATGCCAAAGGCATGGTTATTGTCTGGAAAAGAGAACAGAAGTAGCATTTCTCCCCTGATGAGTGGAAAGAAGTACACTCACTCAACATTGTTGAAGGAGACAGCCTGGGTGAAAGTCAGGAACCCTAAACACCATTTGTCCTCCTCTTGCTGGTAGTTTTATTTATATCTTCTGCAGCTGTGAAAGTACTGAGAACATCTTTACAGTGAACCAGCATCCATTTCTTCCCAGGTTTTCAATTAGTGGGATTGTGTATAGCAGACAAAGGATGCAGGTTATCCTGTGAGAAGTTTGGCTTACTTCTGTTGTGGTTTATGTGTTAGATGTCCAGGTTGCTGCCAGCTGTAATCAACAGGACACAATGTATGCCAAGAGGGAAGGTGGTAAACAATGCTGCAGAGCCTCTCTGCCAACTGGCAGCATAGGATTTGGGACTACATGGGTTCTTTGGCTCACGAGCATGAAATTTAGTGGTCCTAGCTCCCATTTAGTAGTAGCTTGCTCCTTGCTGCTGCATAACTACTTTGCTGTTGCAATGGTCGATTCCTTCCTGGAAATACCAAGGACATCAAACTCCAAATCTTCTCTTTGCCTCCTTCAAGTGCCAGACTGAGCCATCAACTTGGAAGGATCAGCCTGCTTTATTAGTGTGCCTGTTGGACATGTGAACTTCTGCAGCTACAACTTTGTGGACAGATTCCCCTTCAACATGAAAAATCTTGCAGCTCATGTCTACATTGGGCTCTTAGTTCTGGCATGTTTTTCAAGAGCAGCTACCAGTGATGAAATGTCTTCCGATTACCGGGAAGAGGAAACTGCAGGTGCTGAATAGATTTGCTTGCACACCAACACAGCTTGCTTGAAATATTACTAGGAATGTGTTTGGAATATCAAGAAACTCGATCTGGAACATTCCTGACAACTGTATTCAAAAGCAGGTGGTGGAGTAGAGTCTGCTAAATTGAACTTTGCAGCTACTTAATGCAGTTGCTTTTTGCCACTTATCTTCCACAGCATGTGTGGCATTGTAACAGGGAAGGGGGTTAGTTGTATTGAAACTCTTCTGTATTGTGGCTGTGATAGTTGCTTTTTCCTCAAATTTGTTCTTTCTGTGGACTAGGAGAAAAGATTTCTAAATTCACTTTTACTTGAAAAAAATAAGTGGTAGGATTTTCAGGGAGGTATGTGGAAGGTAAGAGCTGATGGGATGGTGCTTCAAATTTCCTCATAGGTACCACATCAGTCACCTTATGAAGAACATGAGTTGAGCTAAGGGGACCCTGTACATAGGACGGCAAGCCAGCCACATCTTTGCATCAAACAGATTGCACAGCCTATTGCAGGGTTGAGAGAATCGTGGCACTCAGAACTGGACACAGCGTTCCAGGTGTGATTTGACTGAGACAGTATAGAGCAGTAGTATAACTTCCCTTGGTCAGAACACTATACTTCTGTTGATGCAGCCTAGAATAGCATTCATTTTTTGACCTGCCAAATGCCTTGGAAAACCCACAAGCAAGACATGAGAAGAATAGCATTGTTGCTAAAGATCAATAATAGATTCAGAGGCATACTTCCTCCAATCTTGAGGAAATAGTGCCTTCAAAACTAGTAGCCCAATAGTCTTGTCCTCTATGAATCTGGCAAATCCCCTTTCAAAGACATTTAAGCCTGTGACCATCATTACATCTTGTGGTAGCAAACTTTTAAAGAAAAAGTGCTGTTTGAAGAACCTCCTTTTGTCATTCCAAAATATCCTGCCAAACAACTTTATTGAATGACTCTGGGTTCCAGTGTAATGAGGATGGAAAATTGTATTTCTACCCACTTTTTCCACATTACGCAATTTTATAAGTTCCTGTCATACCCTCATACTTGCTTTCCCACCCTAACTTAAAAGCCCCAAGCACCATAGCCTTTTCCTTATTATAAGAAGTATTCTAAACCTCAGTTTATTTAGTTCAGACTTTCTGCATCCTCTCAAACTAAACAACCTTTTTGAGATGTGGCAACCAGCACTGTACAGAGCACTCCAAGTGTTATAATTAACGGCATTGGAATCTCTTGGGCACATGAATGGCGATACAAAAAATATAACACACTGGCAACCTGGACAACAACACAATAAACTGAACAATGGCCCAGTTTGGTCTCACTATGCTTTAGTGAGAAGGAGCAAGCTTTGCTCCTCCCCTGGCCTTGCTGTTTTCAGACTACCCAGAGCTCACCATTTGTCTTCCCCAAAGAAACTACCAGTGGCAAACCAATAACAAACGTAAGTTGTAACTCACGGTTCATTAGGAATAAATGAACAACACTATTAATCTTAAATATGTGCACAGACCTGTCTCCTTTGCCATGGGCCAATGATGGAGTGCCCTTTTCTTCTGGCAAGAATTGCATGGCACCTGAGCTTGGATGCTACCAGCATTCTCCTTTTTGAGAGAGGTGGAAGCGGACTGCTTTTCCACACCACATTGTAATAGTTGCATGACATGCAGAAATTCAGCTCGTGGAAATGAAAATGATGGGGAAAAGATCACCTATTACATATTTGCCTGGCATGCAACTATTAAAAACAGATAACCTCAGTCAGCAAAAAAGCATAGCATCATACTAAGCAGCTTCTTGAGTTTCTACACTGTGAAAGTCAAATACGTTGCATTTCACTAAAATGAAAGCAGGATTGATGGTGCTAAAACCTTTTTTCAGTTTTAAGCAATGAAGAATGAACAAGTGTGTGAATAGACTTCTGATATTTCTTAGAGAGATTTACAAGGATGTAGAGCCAGGGACTATCCCCTGAAATGGACAGAGCAAAGGAGGATCAAGTTCCACCTCGCACACTGAAGGAAAATGCAGAAACGCTTAACTTCCTCTCCACACATTACATGCTAGTTTCTTTTTCATTTAACATGGCATCCAAAACTAATATGCTTATTCTTCGTGAACTCTCAGTTTAGAGGGGCTACACCTAGAGACCTCCCATTTAATTATCTACAGAAGTAGGATAGAGAGGCCTGGCCCCTAGACTCGAGGTTCCCTACCACGGATTTATACAGCTGATTACTTGTGTGAATGACGGCTACATGGAAAATGGATGCTAAATAAAATTACCTGAAATTAGTAAAGCCTCAGTTCTGTATTCCAAACCTTAGTGTATGCCCCCTTTTGTAGTTCTTAGGGCTGATGCAGGTAGCACAAAACAAGTGAATGAGCTGAAGAACTGGAATGACTTTCTGGAATGTGTTAGGCTAACACTGGTTTCTAGTTCCCACTTGCCACACACACTGAAGTTATCTGAGTTTTTGCTTCAAAGAAGGAAACACAAGATGATGTGTCACAAGCAAAATAAGGAACCCAACCATCTAATTCATTTCGTCAGTCATAATTAAAAAGCTTCATCACAGCTTCCAAAATACAGTGGTTTCCAGAAGCTAGATTCTTTGCCCCAACCCATTTCCAATATATATATACTGTATATTTAAAAACATATTCTCTTCAAAACAAATGCATTAGTTACAAGAGGCAACATTGGCTTTTCACGTTGCATAGGGCTTTATGATGGTTATTAAGTGCGACTTCAAGTACAAATTACATGGGCCTCTCCCATCCTCAATGAAAGCAAGTTCGATGGATGTGGAAAGGTGGGGAACAGTCATACGGCACACCGAGGTAATACAGAGTCTTTGTGCAGATAAATCCATTTTTTAAATGGCTTGTGTTTTACCACTTACTCATAAATGTGGCTAGAAAGCAGTTCTGCTGAAAAACCAAGACTTGTATCCCTTAGAAAACCACATTGAAGATAAGAAACTCGTCAGTGTTCTCTGCCACGTTGCACTCACAATCAAGCCTTCAAAATAGTAAAAAGCTATAACAGGTTCTAATAAGGCATCCAGAGACTTATGAGATACTAAGCTGTGTTTTTCCAACCAGTACATCAACAGCAAGTTTGACAAGTCGAACCAATCTCCTGCCTGCTGAATAATCTCTCGGCTGCTGTAAGAATATTTCAGTCTGGCAGTAAGAAGCAGCCAGTCATGGCTGGGTAGCATAAGAAATGTCAGTTATTGCTCTCTCTGCAATTCAAAGTACTGGGTGTTTTTTTGTTTTAAGCAGGTAAGTTCCTGACTCTTACCCTCTGGCTTCAAACTTTCAGCAACTGCCACTTCTGTATTGAATTCTAGTCCAAGTCTATTCAGACAACTGTAAAGCAAAACTGGCAAGGAACTAGAAGAGGTATTTCCGGCAAGACTCTGTGCCACATTTACACTCAATGCGCATCCGCTTCTTTGGAGAGCCAGCCAGGCCTCCAACTAGGCCAAAATTAGAGTCCATCCTTGTGCTTTCTGCATTTACTGGGTCCACTGTGGGAGAGATAGGGAAGGTGGGAAATCAGCACTGGAACCAGAATATCTTCCATCATAGCAGACCTGTCATTGAATTATATCTAGCGAATGCACCCTATCCACAACAAGGCTACATACTGGCCAAAAAACTGAACTCATAAAGTTCCCTGTTCCTTTAAGCTCCTACCTATCACACTATTAAAAAGAAAAGATATCAGAATTATCTTAGAATACTGTTGCGATGCTTTATTTGAAATTCGAGGAAATCTAACCAGAATTTTTTAATGGTTCAAAACATGATCTTCATTCTTAATCCCTACCTCCCAAAATGAACAGGTCTCAATATCTAAATTTCTCAAGCACTCCCCTTCTTACCTTGCATGTTGTAGTCAAAGGTGAGTTCCTCACCAACACGGATAGGTCGAGTAGCAAAGAAGGCAATGCGTGGCAGCCTCTCATCCAAATTTTCAATGAAGACATTGTAAACCTGTAGGTTAGGGTTACACTGGAAGCAGAAAACAGGAGTAAGAGGGAAGTAAGACAAGGTCTACATTAAAAGTTATGTTACAGATATGGCTCCCTCCCCACTGTGATCTACCCCACTTACACTATGGTTGACAAAATGTGAAATGTTGCCATAGTATGCGGCATCCACTGTGTATACATCTTCTACATAATCAAGGTCAAAGAGGTAAGTGGCACCCTGTCGATCATAGATCTGACCCCGTCGTTCAGCCTCCTCTGATGTGATTATCTGGGAGAGATGCAAAAAACAGTAAGCACTGCAAAAATGGGGCTATTGCATCTTTCTTAGTAATCTATTGAAAATATTCATCCAGATCCCATTTGTTCCTGCTATCTCTCTGCTGGGTAACCTTTCTACTCATGCCTAGACTCACTTTTGGTTATCAGTTTAATACAAAGTTCTAAGTTCTCAGAGAGTATATGATCGTGGATGGAAAACCTTCTAAAGTCATTCCCATCATGGTACATTAATTTGCCAGAACGTTTTTCTTCCATGAATCTTTGATGTTCAAGATTACTGAAAGTTGACTGCCTAATTATTTCAGTAAGGACTTAAAATCTTGACCATCCTTTATGGTATCTTCACCTATCTAAGCCTCTCTGTGACACAGGTATCCAGTAGGTGGCTCCAAAATGCCTCATTTCTGCAGCAAAACTCATTGTACAGGTTCTACTACCCACATGTTTAAGAGTATCAGGTAGGAATCATACAATTGTGGCCTTCTTGCTAATCAGCTACATTCAGTGCTGTTTATGTGCAAGTAGAATAGACTTCCACTCATGCAGCAGGGCTCCCACTGGCCCTCACAGTCCTCAAAATCTGCTCCTGAGAGTTCCTCAGTCCTCTGGAAAAGATTTGAGGGCATGCAGGGCAGAGAAGACCATGGAAGTCTGGTCACACAATATCATAAATTTTATAAATAAACACTGGGCAGAATCTATTTCCCAGTTTGATCAAATAAACCTTGAGGGGACTTATATGTAATTGCAATGATATACACACATGCATATTCACAAACCCAATATAGCAGCCCATAGTCCCCTGGTTGATGAATCACTAAATCTGTGGTGTCAATATGTCATAGGATGATTTACTGAGCAAAAGAATGTTGAAGTTCTTAGCTTTTGGCACCATTCCCCAAAACTATTTAAATTGTATAAAAGATTTATACTTTAAAATGAGATACAGTGGTACCTCGGGTTAAGTACTTAATTCGTTCCGGAGATCCGTTCTTAACCTGAAACTGTTCTTAACCTGAAGCACCACTTTAGCTAATGGGGCCTCCTGCTGTGCCGCCAGAGCACGATTTCTGTTCTCATCCTGAAGCAAAGTTCTTAACCCGAGGTACTATTTCTGGGTTAGCAGAGTCTGTAACCTGAAGTGTATGTAACCCGAGGTGCCACTGTACAGTTTATAACAAGGGCAGGGCTGGCAGGGACACAACTAAGATTTTAAGAAAATTTACTGGTTACATCAGATGAATGTTCAAGTCTGAGTGTCAGCCACAATATCTATGCAGTAAATGTTCCTTTCTTCCTGAATTTGTCCATCTACTTGTCCCACTTGAATTAGGAAGACCTACAGAAACCACCCACAGCCTTCCAGAAGCCAGTAATGTAGGGATGGACATTGCACAACTTTCCCAGAGCCCAGTAAGATAGGGATCATCATGCGTGGAAGGGGGTTATTCCAGGGATCTTCCTGATTTCGTGCAATGTTGCCTTTTGTGAGTGGACCTCAGGAATGTAACTCCTGTGTAAGTTTTGGGCCTACTGCATTTGAACTCCACAACTTTCATGTTTGAGAACCCCTCAGAATTCAGGGGTCAGCAAACTTTTTCAGCAGGGGGCTGGTCCACTGTCCCTCAGACCTTGTGGTGGGCCAGACTATTTTTTTTTTTTTGGGGGGGGGAGATGAACGAATTCCTATGCCCCACAAATAACCCAAAGATGCATTTTAAATAAAAGCACACATTCTACTCATGTAAAAACACCAGGGAGGCCCCACAAACAACCCAGAGATGCATTTTAAATAAAAGGACACATTCTGCTCATGTAAAAACATGCTGATTCCCAGACCGTCCGTGGGCCGGATTTAGAAGGCAATTGGGCCGGATCCGGCCCCCGGGTCTTAGTTTGCCTACCCATGCCTCAGATGGATCAGTCACAAAGAGCCTCACTATCCTTGTAATGTAACTGATATCCCCCTGTTCCCTGATCAAAGCAAATCTTGTCAACTGACCATATAAAGATAAATTTTATCACCTTGGAAAGTAAGTGCAAATATAACCCCTCCATCTTAGACTGGAGCCCATGCAGTATAGCCATCTATTTAATTATGCCCTGTTTGACTGGAATATTTCAAGTTCCTATCCTTGTCATGTGTAAATATGCAAAATACCTAGCCCTTTTAGAATTTTGGTGGAGAGTTGCTTCTGACTGACTGGAGCATTTCAGAAAATCAGAAAACATTACAGGCAGTTAAAATAAGTGATACCAGAGCAGAAAGAGAAAGAACGAGAGAACGTAAGAGATATTTCCATTCTTTATAGTTTCAGGGTTTTTTGTTTGGTATTAGTGATATGGATTATAGGTTGATAAAATGAAATGTTTGTTGTTTATTCCCAATATACTGTTATGTTTTATGTGTATTGTTTTTAATGTATTAACTGATTTATTATTATTATTATTATTATTATTATTATTATTATACACTAGTAAATCTGACTGAGTTTAATGGGGTTTACTCCTAGGTAAGTGGATATGATTGAAACCTAAATATCTCTGCCTCTTTGATGAGTCTGAAGTAAATATTTCTACCTGAAGCTCACTGTTGGAGCATGTCACGTACAAACATGGTGTTACTGCTTCACATCTTATAGAATGGAACAGGCCAACCCAGCTTCAATTTTTCTTTCCTCCTGTACCCTGGATCACAACTAAACTTCTGGTCCATGCCTGCTCATCCTACCTCTCCTACATACTCCATGACAAAGCTGTTCTTGCGGATCTTCTCCAGTGTGCGCACACCCCAGCCACGTCCATTATCTGTCCGGAAAATGCAAAGATCATAACGAATGCCTTTCTGCACCACACGGTTAGAGCAGTCAATCCCACAGCTGCAGCGAGAATTGCACTCATAGATGGGCATGCCAGCCTTGATCTTCACTTGGCCAAACTCATTATACGCAAATTTATGGTGTGAAGCACCAGGACAACAACCTCCTGCTGCTTCCGAAAAACAGTCCAAGCACTCACAACCCACAGCCACCTGGTTGAGAGTGATGCCCTCCCCAACCTTGTACTCATTAATGTAGACAAAGTCCCGGGGAGGCCCTTCCAAGTCCACCTCATTCTCTACCACAATGCATCCCTTGTGGTTGCGCTTGGCATTGAGTTCATATTCCCAATGCTGCAAAGCCCGCCGCTGTTTGGCCTTCTGCACTAGGTAGTTGGAGATGCCTTGGTCAAGCAAGCGTGTATTCTTTCTGAGCTTGCTTCCTCGTCGAATCAATGCCTGCTCTAGGTCCCGGTGGAACTGTTTGAGTATACTGATACAGCGCAGGTTCTTTCTGGGCTCCCAAGTGTTCTGTGACTCAGGGTAGCCCCGCCACTTCACCAGGTAGTATTCCTCATCCTGAGTAAAAGGTAACCATGCACAGTGTCAGCTTAAAACATGACAATTCTCTTCCCAGAACTGAAAACAAACCCCAGAAAATAAGCTCTCCCAATAACCCCTTCTCCTCTAACCTACTAAAACCCAGAGTAAAGGACAAAACCCAGGTATCTCATGCAAAATTAAGTAACTCTGCAACATTCTCTCTTAACAGCTTCAGTCCTGTAAACTACGGGCCACCAATCAAAGGAAAGGGAGATTATCTGGATCAGAAATGCCTGGCTAAAAGTATAAAGAGCAAAAAGAGGGGTGAAGGAGTGCCAACTAACACCAAATCTCAATGTACAAACACTTAACAGAGAGCTAGGGAAAACAGATGCAAGGTTGAATAAAAGGTGTTGCTAAAGTTGCAAGAGGGCCCAAGTAACTCACCCGAGCTTTCTTGTAGTCACAGAGATATTCTACTTCAAAATCACAGAGGTTTTTTCTGGTAATACCCAAACCAGGGCAGCAAACTTTCTGCAAACGGCAGAGATCCTGGAGGTGGGACCAGGTTGATTTGCAACAAACAGTGCAGGCTATGGGAGATAAGGCAGATATACATTAGAATAACTGTATATTTTCCTTTAACAAAAAGTGGTGATATACTTTTCTGGCTAGCTCTATCATTGTTTTTAGGATCATAAGGAAAAGGGAAATCTCAGAATGTTAAGTCTTACACACATTTCTGATGTTTGCTGCCACAGAGGGCAAGAACTCTAAAATTTGTGCAATGCATCCTAGAAGGTACAGATTTAATTTCCCACCTCTGTTCCCATTCCAGTACTAAACATACCACATTCCAACCATAATTCCTTGCCTGTGTTTCACTTTCACATCTGAGGTTTGCTTGTTCTTTTGCAAACCTATTTGCATATAGTGATGAATCTTAAAACAGGTCGAAAGTTATCACATCATGTGACATCATGTATTTAATTCAACTAAATGCCCTGAATACCAACCCACAGCAAAACGTGGCAATGTAGCACAAGATTTGTGCTGCAAGGCCTCATACATTTTTGTGATAGCTCTGTCATAATTCTTGCTCTCATCCCTATCTTCTAACAACCCCTGAACAGACCTGTGTCCTAGTTGCTTATCCTTAGATAGCTAAGCAACATACTTACATAAAACTATGTCAAATGTTATGTCCCAAGCAAAAGATTTTCTGTTTGGCAGCATTTCTAACCAGTTCAGGTCCCAAAGAGTAGGATTACTTCCCCATTTTACACAGAGGACTAAACATACAGCTTTTATAGGGAAATTACTAAAACACTTCACTGTTCTAAGAGTTAAAAACCTTCTTCTGGTCTCCAGCTTCTATTTGTTGATGGTCCATTTGCTGTCATTATTATTATAATTTATAAAGCACCAAAATTGCTAGGTGCTGTACAGAAATTAGAAATAACACAGCACTTGCCTTCAAACTTACAATCTAAAAATAAACTTGACACACTGGGGGTGAGGGAATTTTCTCTCTCTAATGAACAGTGGCATACCTGATTCTCCTCCACCTCCTCATTTAATCCCTACAACCCTGTGAAGTAGGTTAGGCTGACAGACAGTGACTGGCCCAGGGTCACCCAGTGAACTTCAGGGCCAAGTGAGGATTCAAACCCTGGTCTCCCAGAGTCCTAGTCTGACACTTTAGCCATTACATCACACTGACTCTGAAAGGAAAATCAAGCCAAGGTGAATAGGTATTAAAACATGCAAATGAGAGTTTTCAACCCACTTCCCCATGCAGTGTCTAGCTGATGGAAGAGTTCAAGAAGGTAGTAAAGTCAGAGAACCTTTTCCATGCAAAACAGATGCTCTACCATTAAACTACAGCCCTTCCCTCAAGTCCTCATTGTTTCTCTCTTCTTATTAGACCTAAGGTATCTTTAAATGGCGTTTCCGTGCGCTGCTCTGGTTCGCCAGAAGCGGCTTAGTCATGCTGGCCACATGACCTGGAAGCTGTACGCCGGCTCCCTTGGCCAATAAAGCGAGATGAGCGCCGCAACCCCAGAGTCGGCCACAACTGGACCTAATGGTCAGGGGTCCCTTTATCTTTACTATCTTTAACATAAATAAGCAATTCTCCCTTCTGTTCAAAATATGTTAACAAACTCCTGGAGGGCACTATAGCTCAATGGCACAGCACCAGCTTTACATGCAGAAGATTCCATATTCAGTCCTTGCCTGGCATTTCCAGGTACAGCTGAACAAGTTCTCTGTGTGAGACCCTGAAGAGCTACTGTCAATCTATATACAGATAACACTAAGTTAGGGTAACCAGTGGTTGAATTCATAAGGCATCTTTGTATGTTCACACAATCATTTCAGTGGATTTTCTTGGGGGCATTTGAGTATAAATTCCCCATTCTGGGGCTTTGATCAACAAAATCCTATGTGAACAGAAATTAAGATGCTTTGTAAAGTCTCTAGGAAACTAGTTTGTTCAAACAGCTTGCCTTTCACCTGCAGGATCCTTGTTCTTTTCAAGCCTATAAAGCTGATAGCACTAGATGCAAGGTGAACACCAAATGGGTCAAAGATCCGGAGTCTTGTGATTAGCACACTGTCATCAGCCTTAAACCTTTGGCATCAGACAGACTATAAAATATGGTGCAACAAAAATAGATTGCATGGACAATCACAGTTGCATTTTGAAGAGCTAATTGGTAGGTGGAGGTTATCATTAACTTCCCATAAAATCCATTTATTTATTAGATTTATATACTGCCCATCATACGATCTTAGAGTGGTTCACAGGATAAAAACATGTAAATAACTAAAACAAAACAGCAAAACAATTACCCCCACTTCCCTATTGTACTCTGAAGGCAAGATTAACATAAGCATGCTGAAGTGGAAGCAACATGAAGATCATTTCTTTCAGTAATCTCTCATTATGATGAGAGTTCCCCACTCACTATTCTGAACAACTTAAAAAAATGCAAGAGTGCACTGCACTAAGAACATATGTAGAGTTTTACAGAAACAGATTACAGGGATTGCCAAATCAGAATTGTACTGTCATCTTAAATTTATGAGGAAGACCTACTTAGGGAACTAAAATTCTTGTGAGCGTTTTAATCAAAGTGGGTTTTTACTTTTCCACCAAAAAGTGGGAGTATATAAATACAATCATTGCTGCAATTAGTAAGAAAACTAGAGTAACCAATGCCTTTTCTCTGGCCTCTGGCCCATGTAAACTCTCTGAAGTTTCTCCACCAGGTATCAAGCTCATTGCCTCCTCCTGCTCCATGACAGGAAGGTATCGGGATTTGGGGGGGGGCCTTCAAAACTGCACGGCCAGGGTAATGTCCCCCCCGAAATCTTAGCCCAGGGGTTTCACAGCTGCTTCCCCGTCTCCACCTGCTGCCAACCTCCCGACTTCCGCACACGAAGTTCGCCTAAGTGGCTGAGCTGGCTGTCTCTCTCGGGAGTCTGACAGGCCAAGGGTCCGAAAGCAAGGCAGCCTTTTGTCAGGAGCCCCAACCTTGTGCCATTTCCTACCCCAAAACCGAGAGGCCTAAATGAAACCTAAGCCTAAATGTTTCAAGGCGGCAAGAGTTTTTCAGGGGCGGCAGAAGGAAGGAAGGAAGCACATGGCGAAAACACAAGGCGGGGAGCGGGACACCACAGAGACACCCACATATAGGGGGAGGACGGTTGGCAGAAACAAATGACGGGGGTGGGGGGGACGGGACCGCAACGGGGTCAAAGCTCCTTTGCCCACGAAAGAGGAATAGGAGGGGCAGGCCGGCGTTTTGGTCCTGGGGGGGGCGGGGAGAGGGGCGCTTCTGCCTCTCGGCAAGCCAGACCCCCCACATTCCCCTCACGGCTCCCGTTCTTTCTCTCCCCACGCGCGCCGCCTCCTCCTCCTTTCCCGCCCTCAGCGCGAGGCTCCCGCCCGACGGCCCCCGCGCCGCTCACGCCGCCTCTCGCGCGCTCCCCCCCCCCGCCGCCCCCGTAACGGTCGCCCGCGGCCGCCTCAGAGCTCCGCAGGGCGGGCGGGTGAGGGGTGTGCCGGGGGCTTCCGTCCTCGCCCCCCACCTCCGCGACCGAACGCCCGGCTGCCCAGCGCCGCTTCTGCCCGCGCGCTTCCCTCCATCGCCGGCGCCGCCTCACGCGCCCAGCCCGGAGCTGCGTCTCCTCCTCCTATCTCGCTCGCTCTCGCCCGTTTTCCCTCTCACCTTTTAAATTTTCCGCCATCTTGCGCTTTTCTTTTTTTTCCCCTTCCAACTCCGCTCCAGCCACTGAGGCCGCCGGAAACTTTTTTCGAGCGCGGGAGGGTCGGCGCGGCGGAGGCGGCGCCAGAGAGTCGCAGGCGGATCCTCGGAGCCATCCGCCCGCGGCCCAATGGCGAGCCCCGCTCAGCTCTGCAGGTCCCGCCCAGCGCCGCCCGCGACCAATGGCCGCTCGCCTCCCCGGCAGCCTCAGTCGGCCTCGGAGTTAGTGGCCGCCTTGAGCCCCGTCAGGGAAAAGGCGGCGCGTCAGTAGGGACCGTCACTTGGGAAGACAGGCGGACTCATGCCCGTGTACTGGAAGAAGCAAAGGTCACCAGTGTCGAAGCAATGATTCTTCAACATCAACTTCGTTGGACTGGTCATGTAACTGGTGCCTGATGATCGTCTTCCAAAGCAACTCCTCTATTCCGAACTTAAAAATGGAAAGTGTAATGCTAGTGGTCAACAAAAGTAGCTTAAAGACTGTCTCAAGCATAGCTGTCAACTTTCAAGATTTGAAAATAAGGGATCAGCAGCCTCGAAAATAAGGGATCAGCAGCATAGCTGTCAACTTTTGGATTTGAAAATAAGGGATTAGCAGCCTCACCTGTCCCGGAGATAGTCTACGGGATATCTAACAATCCGGGATAGCAGCGGGAAGCAGCGCTGGAATAAGGGAATTTCCCGCAAAAAAAGGGAAGGTTGACAGCTATGGTCTCAAGGCAAATGTTAAAAAATGTAGTATAAACACCAACAATTGGGAAACACTGTGAGCGCTCCAATTGGAGAACAGCCTTTACCAAAGGTGTCATGGGCATTGAAGACACTTGAACTCAGGACGCAAGGGAGAACATGCTAAGAGGAAGGCACACTTAGCAAATCCACACCGTGATCAACTCCCACCCGTAAACCAATGTCCAGAATTGGCCTCCACAGTCACTTACGGACTCATTGTTAAAACCGTGTTTATGGAAGACAATCTTACTCGGCTAAGAGTGATCGCCAGAGAAGAAGAAGACAGAATGACCACTTAGGAATTAGTACCATGTTCTTCCTCCTCACCTCCCTGAACAGAGCACAGCAACACACACCACACACACCTGCTCATCTAACTAAGGTCTTATTTTATGTAAACATAAAAAAAAGTTTCTGCAACTTCCCAATCAAACTGACTTCTATGGAATTCCTTCATCTTCTCCACCATAGGTAAAATACAGAGGGTAAAATGTGCCTCATTTCTGCCCTTGCCTAACAGCCAGACACAAGGTTTTCTCTGGGGCAGAGAAAGTGGGAAAGGGCAACATTTAATTTCTCGGCACCTAGCAACTTGCGCATTTTAACCCACACTCCCAATACATATATTTTTTATCTATAAATAAATCTGGGTCATATGGTGCTGAGTCCAGGCAATGGCCATTCTCCTAAGTAATACGGCAATGCTCCTATTTACTTACTTAACACACATAACTGGCTTTTTGTTGGAATACTACTGCCTCTTCACAAACGAAGGATGAAGCTAATTCCTATAGAGAACACTGTTCTACCTAAAAAGAGGATTTATAGGAACCATGGCTATTGATCCCTTCGGCAGTTTTAGGTCAGGAGATGATGGCAGGATCTCGTAGGTACATCACACCTAAGAATCTAGAGAATCCAGTCCTTGGCCATTTGGGGTGTGGGAAGAAGCCACAGTTGCTCAACTATCTGTAATGCAATCCCATGCAGGTTTCCTCACATCTAAGTGCCACTGTGTTCAGTGAGTGTTTATGCCTAGTATTGCAGCCACAACAGGCTTGCGAAACATTGCAGTTTGATTTCCCAATTCTTTCCCATCTCTTCGGGCATTTCTTAAAATCTGACTTCTCCCATCTTGGTCTCATGATTGCCCAGGGCCTGTATATAAATGCCTGGCAGTGCCATTAAATCTGCCATTAAAACATTTTGCTCTTGAAGCGCTGTCAGGTACTCAACAGGACCATACTGTCCTCTTTGCCCTAATTTCACAGTGCCTACCTTTATCTGCTCTCTGTTCTGCCCCTACCAGCTGCTATCTGCAATATTGTGTGGATATCTTTAGTATTCAGTCTGAGAGCTGCACATTCTCCTATCCTGAACTGCATGAATGTGTTACTTAATGCTCACCAGGGTTTATCTAGATCAGGGGTGGCCAACTCCCAACCGACTGCGATCTACTCACAAAGTTAAAAACTAGCAGTGATCTACCCTCTTTTAGGGAGGGGGAAAGCCACGTTTTTGGGGGTTGCAAGGCAAAGATGTTGAGCTTTTTTTAGGGGAGCCAAACTTGTTGAGCTTCTTTGGGGGGAGCCAGTGATCTACCACAGATGTCCAGTGATCTACCGGTAACTCACAATATACCTGTTGGACGTGCCTGATCTAGATTCTAGAATGGGTACACCATACCTGCCACCAGATAGACCAAAATGGAAGTCTTGTAGTAAATTAGTCTTCTATAAGATTGAGGCAAGCATCTTCAAAAGATTCTGATATAACAACCTTAAAAGATAACCGTGCTTTACAATCTGAAATGCACAACCTATGTCTTCAAAAATAGTGCAAAGGAAAAACCAGTGATAGTGAAAACAAGGGCTACCCACTGTACATTTGTCACAATACAGTACATAATATGTTTTGAATGCGTTATAAACATGCAACACCAGATGGCACCAGAGAGCAAAAAGGAATTTTTATGGATTTTTACATAGGCTTCTTGTTGTTATGATTTAATTCCTGACTTATTTATAGCGTTTTAAACCTGTGTCTAGATCCATCCCAGCTCAGAGTCCGGCAACCATTTGGCTTCTTTAACAGGCTTGTTGCTGCAGAAGATGCGTCTTCTGCAAAAGATCTGCTTTTCCCTGCTGTGGTATAATTAGGGTGTGTGTGTTTTTAGCCGGAACTCAGTTCCAGCATCTCTCAGGTGGGTGCCATTGCCATTATAAGAGAACAAGAGAGGTGTTCGTGGTGAGTTCTAGCACCTCTTTTTCTAGAAAAATAGCACTGGGAATAATAATAATAATAATAATAATAATAATAATAATAATGGTGTCCTGTTTGCATCCAGGAAGGTGCTGCTGTTGCACCCTCAGTAATGTAGTAAGATCCAGGATGTCAAGATTCTTGGCTACATGTGCCCCCAAAATCTGTTTCAGATGGATCTCCAAGTCTCTGGAGCTGATTTTGTGAATGCACAGGAGTCTGCAGGGGAGAAGAGGAGAACGTCTAGTGGAAAATGAACAGTAGTTACCACCCCTGGGTATACAGAAGTAACTAAGTTTCCGAAATGAAATAAAATTACATTTAAAAAACTTTAATGGAAACCTTTGGCTTTAATTAATTACTCTGCTCATAGCTGTTGAGACTGTAAAAAGAAAAAAAGGATCTAAAGAAACAAGAAAGACTGTGGGCCAAACTAGACATAACACAATGTGCCACTTTAAAATATGTTACAGTTTTTAAATATATATATATTATAGGCACATAGGTGGGTGTCAATTTTAATAGGAACTGCAGCACGGGGAGTGGAAGGAGATTTAACCCTTCTTTCCCTAGTTACAATCCTGACCAAATTTCCTCTTCATGATGCTATTAGCCCTAAAAGAATAAAGCTCACGTTGGCACCAAATTTATAATGTTCATATACTACCAGACAGCATTTCCCCACCCTGTTGCCACCACAGCACAATGTACTACTTTTATGTTTCACTAGCAACCCTCTAAATAAGAGAATAATGAATCAGGAATAGAAAAAAAAAGTGTGTCTGACTTCAGAAGGTGAAAAGTACAGGAGTCTGAGGCTCAGTGCCCTTCAGAAAACCTGTTTATTGAACATTTATCTGTATTTGCTTGCATAAAGCTTGATTATATATCCTATCATTATTGAGCATTCATCTGGATTCATTTACAGAATGTTTATATGTCCGTCCATTAGTCATATGTTCATCCCACATGTTTCTATGCATTTCACTATCACTTTCTGAACCACAAAAAGACTGATTTTTTCCTCCCAAGTGGATTTGTTGGACTAGGGTGACAGAGCTGTTTAATCCACTTTAATTATGCAAACTTAAAGTTCTGGTATGTGCTTGAATCCGTGGCCTCCGGAAGGCACCCTCAAAGAAAAGGATCCTGTGTCTGTTCTCCAAGCTGCCCAGTTTCTTCTGCACAATGTCAAAACACCAAAGGTGAAGCTAGGATTTCCTGTGTAGAGCTACTCACTTGAAAAGTCTCTAGTTACTACAATATTAATTCCATTCAAAGGTAAGTGGCATAAGCTATTTATTTGTGGTCTTCCAGACATTTTTTGTTTTCGTTTTGTTCTGTCCAACAGGCACATTAAGATCCAAGCCAATTTTCCTTCCCCAGAATAGAACAGAGTTCATGGAACTGGTCTTTCCCACCTCCCCTTTCTTTCAAAACCTTCTGCGTCCAGTGGGGGACCACTGGGAATGGTGTAAGATATGATGTGGGGCGTTGCCGACCATTTGGCAGAAATCACTCCCCCCCCTTGTGTGGAGAGAAGAGCAAATTAGGATCCAAGCCACTGAAAATACTTTAGTTTCCAGTATATATCTCTATAATACCGTAAATAAAAGAATAATTCATTGAAGTCAAATCTGGATTTGCGTCCCCTCTATCACACTGCAATCAAAACAACCAAATTTGAAAGTAAATACCGTATTTTTCGCTCTATAAGATGCACCAGACCACAAGACGCACCTAGTTTTTGGAGGAGGAAAACAAGAAAAAAAATATTCTGAATCTCAGAAGCCAGAACAGCAAGAGGGATCGCTGCGCAGTGAAAGCAGCAATCCCTCTTGCTGTTCTGGCTTCTGTGATAGCTGTGCAGCCTGCATTCGCTCCATAAGACACACACACATTTCCCCTTACTTTTTAGGAGGGAAAAGTGAGTCTTATAGAGCAAAAAATACGGTAGGTACAGTATACCTGCCTTAAAGTTTGGAGGTAAAACTAAAGCAAGGGAAAACATTCCTCTGAAAGGCGTGCAAATAATTCAGACAACTAGGATTTTTATGTGTGTTAACAATGCACTGGTTATTTTATAAGACAGAGGTTTTGCTTACATTCCTGTAATCTTCATACCTGCACATTGGCCTCAAAGGGGGAACCACTTCTTAAAGACACACAAGATTATACATCGAGGAGAAAGAAAGGAGGATGAAGGGGCTGGATGAAAGATAATATGGCTCTTAGAAAGTTAGAGGAGATTAGAAGTGGTATTGTCAAGACCGAGGGTTTGAAAGAGGGAGGATTACAGCCGAACTTTCTAAGACTGTCAAAGGCTTGCAGGTGCACAGAATGGCAATTATTCTTTAGCCTAAGTGATGCTGGAGAGGAGGAATGGGAAAATAATGACCTGTCACTGCAGAGGCTAAAGCAGAGCTGCCCTTGCACCTACTGGATTTCTGCACAGATTGTGAGGGGGACCATAACAAGGTAGCAGTCTGATTAAATGCCCACAGCAATTCAGACAGCAACAGATTGTCAGAAGGATCGGGCTTTGCGTCCTTCTGGACTCAGTCATCCCACTCGTCATCCTCTTCATCATCACCATTGTCTTCATCGTCATCTGTGGGTACAGTGGAACAATTTGAGAGGAGGAATTCCCGAATGACACTTCTAAAGTGCACCTACACCTCTTTTTCCATACAGGAATGAATGGTCATCCATTCATTCACCCAAACCACCACTCCATACTTACAAGTTATTTCAGCCTACCCTTCTCCCTTGGAGTTGTATTCAGTGCTAATCCTACTCAGAGTAGACCCATTTTTAAAAATAATAAATGAGTGGACTAAAGTTAGTAATCTCTATTGATTTCAATGGTTCTCCTCTGAGTAACAGTGGTATTTGCATTTACAGTCATACCTCATGTTGCATTTGCTTCAGGTTGTGTCCCGCGGCAACCCAGAAGTACCGGAAAGGGTTACTTCCAGGTTTCGCCGCATGCGCGGATGCTCAAAATGACGCCACGCGCAGGCGCAGAAGCCGCGAATTATGGCACGTGCAGACGCGGGTTGCATTCTGCTCATGTTGCGAACGAGGCTCCAGAACGGATCCCGTTCGCAACCAAAGGTACCACTGTACCTGTTTAACACTAGATACAATACCAGTGCAGGAATCAAGATTTCACCCCTTGCAAAATGCCACTGGCTCTGTCTCCGATCTTAGCTTTGTCCTTTCCAGTAAAGCACAAAACTTTAGACAGTTTAATAAGTTTTTGTCTGTAAGCACGCAGTTCAAAGGATGAGATGTATCGGATGCAACAAAATTCACCTGAGGAATGAATGACCTTGCTCCTCTTCTGCATCACATGCATAAGAGCTCCTACCAGGCCTTCAGAGCTCTGTGCAGGCGATGGCGGTTCCAGCACATCAGGTGTCTGAAAGGTAAAAGGATTGCAAGTGGTGTCATTAGGGCTTCGAATGTTGACGGCCCTTAGAGCCCGCACAAACCTTTCAACCACACAAAGCTGTCTTTGTTCACTCTGCTCCTCCTCAAAACAGATACAGCTGTCACAATCCAGTGGACAGTGGTAACAGGGAAATATTTAAGACTAGTTTGCACAAATGCAATCGACCATGTCTGGGCTATACCACTTTAAATTACAGGGGGGCTTATACCACTGAATGTTCTTCCAGAGATAACGCTTCCACATAAAATTCTAAGTAATAGAGAGAAGGGTTCTGGCCTAGTTTTCTCCCTGTCACGCTAGTAGGATTTTTTTTTTAGCCCAGGGGTGGCCAACTCCCAAGAGACTGTGATCTACTCACAGAGTTAAAAACTGGCAGTGATCTACCCCCATTTTGGGGGTGCAGGGCAAAGATGTTGAGGGTTTTTTTTAGGAAGGAAAGCCCTGATTTGGGGGGTTCAGGTCAAAGTTGTTGAGCTTTCTTGAGGGACTTCCGGGTTAGCGCCATTGGCTAATGGCGGAGTTCCTCTGACCGGAGGAACCCGCTCCGTGAGAACTGGGTCTTCCCGCCGCGGCTTTCTTTAGGGGAGCCAAAATTGTTGAGCTTCTTTGGGGGGGAGCCAGTAATCTACTGGTGATCTACCACAGATGTCCAGTGATCTACCAGTGGATCACAATCTACCTGTTGGACATTCCTGCTCTAGCCAATCCAACCAGGGAAATCATGTATGAGAAATCATAACACACTAAGCACGAACCATCTTCTGATGCTCTCCACCGTGTCTTACCTTATTGAGTTGTATTCCTTGGCGTATCTGATCCAGTAATGCACCACGTCCGGTGGAGGCAACAGCAGGTGAGCTAAGCCCTCCAGAGGGGGGAGGGGGAGGGGGACATGGGGAAGAACTTGGGAATGCAGGAGGGGGTGGCGGGGGTGGCGGGGGTGGGGGTGGCGGTGGGGCTGACCCAGCTGGGGGTGGTGGGGGACGAGCTGCTCCCGGCCGAGAGACAGGTGGAGGAGGTCCCCACTGAGGGCTGGGCTGTCCTCGAGAGGGCTGTGGAGGCGAAGGGACAGCTCCCCTGTTTGATACAGGCGGGATGGGTGGTAGAGGACCACTTCGGCTATGTCCAGGGCCAGAACGATTTGGGGGTGGGGGTGGAGGATGACTTGGACCTGAAATGAGACAAATATCAACACTAAAATCCCAGTGGGCAGCTTTAGTAGAGAACTATCCATGTATTTTAGAACTAGCAAAAATATTTTGATAGATGACTTATTGTGCAGATCACGTTTAGATCAGTAAGAACAATAAAGATAATTGTCTCTCTCTGAATACCAGTTGCTGGGAGGTTACCAGAGCATAGGTCTAGAGCATAGCTTACGGAAGCTAGGTTACCCCTGGCAAATAGTATACTGGTAGAAAGCGCTCCATGCAACTGTGGCCCCCTGTGCCTCACATGACAGAAAAAGATCCAGGAGAATCACAAAACTACAGACTTCTTCCTTCAGAGAGACTGCAGCCCCATCAAAAACACACAGTCATCCAGTCAGAAGAGCCACCCACTAACAATAGCTCTGTCTTGTCTGGATTGAGTTTTCCTTTATTGGCCTTCATTCAGTCCATAATTGCACCCAGGCTCTGATTCAGAACATGCACCACCCCACCTGCTGAAGATGAAAAGGAGAGATAGATGTGAAGGTCATCAGCATACCGATGAACACACAGCCCAAAATTCCACCCCTCAATGGTGAAAGATAAATGTATATGCATGGACACACCCCTGCATGCCAATGCCAATTGTGGATTACAATGCACACATCTCGTAAGTGGACTCTAAAAGGTAAAGGTAAAGGGACGCCTGACTGTTAGGTCCAGTCGCGGACAATTCTGGGGTTGTGGCGCTCATCTCGCTTTATTGGTCGAGGGAGCCTGCGTACAGCTTCCGGGTCATGTGGCCAGCATGATGAAGCCGCTTCTGGCGAACCAGAGCAGCGCACGGAAACGCCGTTTACCTTCCCGCTGGAGTGGTACCTATTTATCTACTTGCCCTTTGACGTGCTTTCAAACTGCTAGGTTGGCAGGAGCTGGGACCGAGCAATGGGAGCTCACCCCATCGCGGGGATTTGAACCGCCAACCTTCTGATCGGCAAGCCCTAGGCTCTGTAGTTTAACCCACAGCGCCACCCGCTACTACTCCACAAACATTTATGCTGTCATAAATCGGTAACCGTTTGAGGTGACACAAGGATCTTTGTTGTTCTTACTGCAACAGACTAACATGGCTACCGCTCCAGAAGTTATTACTCAGATCAGTACATCCAAGCTCAAACAAAACGTGCAGCATGGATAGGCCTTCTAATAGTCGGTGTAGTATTAGTTAGAGACCAGGATCTGGAGCCATTCACTGGTCCAGTCTCAGAGAGGCAGCCAATGATACCTGAGGTTGGAGACCCTCCCATTCCAGCAGCTCACCCTGTCGTCTCAGCTCTTCCTTCACAGCCTCCAGCCCCCCTTGGCCTTCAATGAAGTCATAGATAATCTTTGAAGTCTCAACATCGGTCAGTTGAGCCTCACTGATTCCCGCCTGGGAGAAGAATGTTTTCAAATCGGGATCTAAATTATTCACCTGAAATAAAAACATAGACAAATGTGTGTGAGAGAGAGAGAGAAAGAGAGAGAGAGAGAGAGAGAGAGAGAGAAATAAAGAAAGAGAGAGAGAGATAGATAGAGAGAGAGAGAGAGAGAGAGAGAGAATGTGTTGCCATGTCTGTTCAGTGCCCATCTACTTCAGCCAATGCTCAAGTCACGATGGTCATCGGGTTACAACTGATAGGACCTGGCTTCCAGCATAGAATGAGGTAGCTGAACTTCTCCGAGACTTGGCGCTTGATATAAAGGACTACCAAAAAAACCGGCAAAGAGGAACTGAGAGAGAATTAAGGGCCTCGGATGTGAGGTCTCCAGGCTGACAGCAGATAGACTGATGGATATAGGGGATCGAAACCGGGAAAGGGGGGCTGGAGTTTGGGAATCCAAAGGGTGTACAATTATATTTTGAATTTTTCTTCCTTTTTTAATTTTGTTTTGTTATGAGTATAAAAAAAAAAAAGGGAATTCGTGGAAGGGAATTGGGGTCGACCTTAGAAAAAGATTCTAATGTTTAAAAACTGTGGACTATAAGGGGAAAGTGGCTATATAAAATGAATTAAATCGAATAATGGGCTAAATACAATAAGGTTAAAATTTGGGATAAGAACTTGTTGAAATAAACAAATGGAAATGGAATACAAGAAGGGGAGGGGTGGGGAAGTCTTGGAAAGATGTTATTGAAAGTAAGGTTTAAATGTAAATGTTTTCTTTTTTTATTTTTATTTTGGATATTTTGGATTTTTTTGAAAATTTCAATAAATATGTTATTAAAAAAAATATAGAATGAGGTAGCTGGTACAGTTAAAACAATTTTACAGTCCTAACCTCTGCCTAACCTAAGGTACCCCTGCCCGTACGGGCCAGTCGTGACCGACTCTAGGGTTGCACGCTCATCTCGCTCAAGAGGCCGGGAGCCGGCGCCATCCGAAGACACTTCCGGGTCACGTGGCCAGCGTGACGAAGCTGCAGCTGGCGAGCCAGCACCAGTGACGCACACGGAAACGCCGTTTACCTTCCTGCTATAAAGCGGTACCTATTTATCTACTTGCACTTAGGGGTGCTTTTGAACTGCTAGGTGGGCCGGAGCTGGGACCGAACGACGGGAGCTCACCCCGCCGCGGGGATTCGAACCGCCAACCTTACGATCAGCAAGTCCTAGGCACTGAGGTTTTACCCACAGCGCCACCCACGTCCCTCCATGCCTAACCTACCATCACCTTAAACCTTCTTCATAGTCAAATCAATCTTAAAACTTCAACTATCTTTAAGCATTACAGTGGTACCTCTAGTTACAAACTTAATTCATTGTGGAGGTGCGTTCTTAACCTGAAACTGTTCTTAACTAGAGGCGTTCTCAGACTGGGGCAAAGTTCTCAACTCGAGGTAACTCTTCCAGATTAGTGGAGTTTGTAACCTGAAGCATTTGTAATCTGAGGCGTTTGTAACTCAAGGTACCACTGTACTTCTGACCACTGGCCCTGCGGGCTAGGGCTGAAGGGAGTTAGAGTCCAGCAACAACGGGAGGGTCCCACATCCTTCCTGTAGCTGTTTAGGCTGTGCCTTATCACCCATCTCCAGCCAAATGCAGGCAGAAGACTAGCCATACCAGCTGAGAAGTGAGAGCAGACCAGGTGATATTCCTATAGAAGCTTCTGAATCAAAGCTGTTCAATGAAAAGAGTAACTAGGAGACCACCTGCTCTTTCTAAACTAAATAACAGCATTGCTTCCTCTTGGCTCCAGTCTAAACTTTTTGGCACAGCAACTAGCTCTGACAACACCTTATAATTGGAATATACAAGCAAACCTTGAGAGAAAGGGCCTCATGTTTTCAGTCAGGTATGATGTAAATAAGCAGGTCATGCATTGCAGGGTCCCTTCCAAGGCTACAATTCTATGATTCTATGTATAAACACAGAGTTTGCTGGACTTCAGTAACTAAAAAGTCTCATAGAATCATAGAATCATAGAGTTGGAAGAGACCACAAGGGCCATCGAGTCCAACCCCCTGCCAAGCAGGAAACACCATCAGAGCACTCCTGACATATGGTTGTCAAGCCTCTGCTTAAAGACCTCCAAAGAAGGAGACTCCACCACACTCCTTGGCAGCAAATTCCACTGTCGAACAGCTCTTACTGTCAGGAAGTTCTTCCTAATGTTTAGGTGGAATCTTCTTTCTTGTAGTTTGGATCCATTGCTCCGTGTCCGCTTCTCTGGAGCAGCAGAAAACAACCTTTCTCCCTCCTCTCATATCACCCCTTAACCTCCTCTTCTCCAGGCTAAACATGCCCAGCTCCCTTAGCTGTTCCTCATAAGGCATCGTTTCCAGGCCTTTGACCATTTTGGTTGCCCTCCTCTGGGCACGTTCCAGTTTGTCAGTGTCCTTCTTGAACTGTGGTGCCCAGAACTGGACACAGTACTCCAGGTGAGGTCTGACCAGAGCAGAATACAGTGGCACTATTACTTCCCTTGATCTTGTAGCTATACTCCTATTGATGCAGCCCAGAATTGCATTGGCTTTTTTAGCTGCCGCGTCACACTGTTGGCTCATGTCAAGTTTGTGGTCAACCAAGACTCCTAGATCCTTTTCACATGTACTGCTCTCAAGCCAGGTGTCACCCATCTTGTATTTGTGCCTCTCATTTTTTTTGCCCAAGTGCAATACTTTACATTTCATACGCATGTCTCATCTCATACGCATGTGAGACCTCAGGATAATTTCCCCCCACTGAGATTCTCTCTCTTTCAAGTCTATTGATGAATCACCATGGCTACGTACATCAAATCCACTGTTGGGATCCCATCCAATGTGCTGGATATGCCTGGAAAGGAATCACAGAAGACATTCAATGAGTGAAGGCCTTGCATCGCAATGCATCCACATGGAGACTTCCAGACCTCTTCGACTTCCCCCTCCTCCTTCCATCTGCAGCATATTGTGACTTGCTTGCATCCTAGTTATGTTTCCACCACATTTCCGTATGGGGCAGTACCTGCGCATGTGCAAAGCACAGCATGGCAGTCCTCTGCTGTGGGTTAGGGTTACGCACACTATGCTACGGAAGTAGTTCTCAAGCTGTGTTTCATAGAAAATTTCCATATGCAAGTAAAGAAACAAGAGCTTCAAGGGCAAAACAAAGAAAGGCCTGATATGAAAACTTCAGAAAAAGAAACTGAAGTCAAGGAATCCTTCCTGTTATGTTGTTTGAAATTTGAAGATTTCCTACTTTCCCCAGATCTCAGTCTTTGAGAGGTCTGCATAACTTCTGCAAGCACTCACTTGAACCCACTTGGAGCACCAATGTCAGCCTTTGAAATCTTTTTCTTCCCCTTCTTTTTCTCCACTGCAGTAGGAACAGGAAGTCCACGGTAGCGGGAAAATGTGATGTCTGGATTCTGGATGTCAACCGTTGCCAGAGGCAGAGATGCTGGAGGAGAGTTTGGCTGCACGCCACGTCCTTTGGGGAACATAAGATGGGGTGAGGAAGCGAACACCTATCAATCAGATCTCCCTCTACAACACTCCCTGTGTTGCCCGCCATCTCAGACATTGTTTTCCTTTCTATGTTTCATCTCTTTATTCTCTAGCTTTGTTTGACTGCATGTGTGTGTTTACATATTTTACCTAAGTCACTGGGAACTTTTTCAGCTAAAGAGCTGGATAGATATTGCCCCGCTGTGAGTGCTGAAGAAGTGCTCCCTGCAAGACCCTTTCCACCTGGCCTAGGGGCAGGGCCCAGATTCACCCTGCTCAGCGTAAGGGACTCCTGGGAGGCCGGAGGGACATTGCCCTGCTGTGAGCACTGGAGCCCAAACTCACGGGAACAAAGTCTGGGGTTGGGGCAACTGTTGAAAATGCTTTTAAATGTTTTAAAAGTTTTTAATCTATGGTGTTTTAAATTTTGGTTCTTGTTGGGTTTGTTTGTTTTTTGCTCTGTTGGGGTGGGATAAATGTTTAGTTGGGTCTGGGGATTAGTTTAATTTTAGTATACAGTCATACCTCGGGATGAATACACTTCAGCTTAAATATTTTTGGGTTGTGCTCTGCGGCAACCCGGAAGTAACAGAGCGTGTTACTTCTGGGTTTCACCGCTTGCGCATGCACAGACACTCAAAATGACGTCATGCGCGGAAGTGGTGAAATGCGACCCGTGCACGCGCAGATGCGCAGTTGCGTCTTACGTTCGCTTCAGGATGCGAACGGGGCTCTGGAACGGATCCCGTTCACATCCAGAGGTACCACTGTAACTGCAATTTTTTATTATTAGTTTCTACTGTTTTATTGGTTTATTGTATAGTTTGTATAACACATCCCAGGACTACCTGGGAGTGGGTCCCAGTCAACAGAATGGCTGTGGCAGGTTCCAAGGGCACTGGGACACCTGATCTCAGTGATCACGGGTAAGAGGAGGAGTTATGCTAGGACCAGACCATGTCATTACCGAGGAGGCAGGCTTAGTCATGGTTTGAATCTATCTCTGCCTCCGGGTTTGGTCTTGACCAGAAGGATACTGGAATCAACAAGGGAGATCCACGTGACCTTAAGGTGCTGCTGTGCAATGCCAGGTCAATGATTCACAAGACCTCTGTCATCCACAATTTGATTGTGGATGGAGGACTTGACCTGGCATGTGTAGCAAATACTCGGTTGGATGAAGCAGATGGCCCTGTTCTTGGCTCTGCTTGTCTACCAGGTTTCTCTTAAGCACAGCAACCCAGGTCATATTGGGGGGGGAGGGGTTGCAGTGATTTTTAGGAAGTCATTAGTTTGCACCAGACATCCTATTTGGAAGACCCAGTTTTCTGAGTGCAGATTTGGAAAGAGGTAGACTCCACCACAGGAGCAGGGCCAGGGCAGAAGAGTGCTAGAGTCCTGTCTAGTCGAGTTGCATGGGATCAATTCCAATCTGTTACCTCCGAGGATGTGGACAGGCTGCTTGGATGAGTGAAACTGACCACCTGTCTCCTTGATCCTTCCCATCCTGGCTCATAAAAGTGAGCTGGGAAGGGCTGGGTGATGGGCTCCACGGGGTGGTGAATGCTTCCCTCTGTGGGGGAGCCTTCCCAGACCCGCTGAAAGAGGTGGTTATTAAACCGCTTCTTAAAAAACCATCTTTGGACCTGGCCAATATGCCCAAATGTCGCCCAGTCTCATTCTTGGGCAAGGTGATTGAGCAGGTGGTCACTGAACAACTCCAGGCACGCCTGGAAGACATGGACCATTTGGATCCCTTCCAATCGGGATTCAGGCCTCATCATGGGACTGGAACTGCCTTGGTTACGCTGAGGGCAACCCTGTATCAGGAAATTTTTAATGTCTAATGTTTTGCAATTTTTTATGTGCTGTAAGCCACCCAGAGTGGCTGGGGAAACTCAGCCAGATGGGTGGGGTATGAATAATAAAATTATTATTATTATTATTATTATTATTATTATTATTATTATTATTATTATTATTTAAACAAACAAACAGATCAGGCGGGCTGCCCCTATTTTGCTTGTGCAAAACCACACATCTTCCCCTTTAAAGAAAACTGTGGTGAGGGGAGCATACAAAGGGTCTGACCAAGACCCTCCTCTCCTCCCCAGACCAACATAATGACAGTATATGGAGCTGCTGGTACTGGAACAAGCAGCTAAAGAAGAAAATTTGACCTTATTTTATCTTGGTCACCTAGAAAAGTGTACTGGGTGGGCTCCCATAAGCCCAAGGATGGAGAGATGTACTCTTCAGCAAGTGGTACAGCACCATGGACAGGGACGTCCAGTAAGGATGCCCTGCTTTGGCAATGATAGGTGACCTTTTAGTTTAAAATCCAATGCACTACTGCCACCTGCAACCCTACAACTGGTTAATAATAATAATAATAATACCCATAATAGTTTTATTATTTATACCCCACCCATCCGACTGGGTTTCCCCAGCTACTCTGGGCAGCTTACAGCATATATAAAAAACTGTAAAACATCAGACATTAAAAAAATTCCCAATACAGGGCTGCCTTCAGATGTCTTCTAAAAGTCAGATAGTTGTTTATTTCCTTGACATCTGATGGCTGCAGAGAGTAGTGAAACTTCACAGTGGCCCAGCACAAGATGTTGCCTCTATTATAAAATATCATTTTTGTGATCTTGTATCTCTTTTGGATTTTTTTTTTAAAGGAGTGAAATTATTTTTTATGGCTCTTGTACCGAGAGCTCTTTTGCCATGGTTCATTTTGGATGTTTCTCTTACTGAAAGTTTCTGATTTTATTGCTGTATTCTCTGTTTGCATGCTGCATTTGTTAGCTGACCTGCGAACTTGTAGTTGTGGATATGGGTAAAGGGACCCCTGACCATTAGGTCCAGTTGTGACCAACTCTGGAGTTGCGGCGCTCATCTTGCTTTACTGGCCGAGGGAGCCGGCGTACGGCTTCCGGGTCATGTGGCCAGCATGACTAAGCCACTTCTGGCGAACCAGAGCAGCACACGGAAATGCCGTTTACCTTCCCGCCAGAGTGGTATCTATTTATCTGCTTGCACTTTGACATGCTTTCAAACTGCTAGGTTGGCAGGAGCAGGGACCGAGCGACAGGAGCTCACCCCGTCGCGGGGATTCAAACTGCCGACCTTCTGATCGGCAAGTCCTAGGCTCTGTGGTTTAACCCACAGCGCCACCCGCAACATATGTGGATATGGGTACACATTAAATAAATGAAGAAATAGCACGCAAACAGAGTTTCTGCAAACTGCTTACCATTTGAGTCAATAGCAGAAGATGGCGGTTGGGGGAGAGCTGGTCTTCTGTCTAACAGATGCAAAAAAAGTAGTGATCAGGATGTAAAGAGGCAGCAATTTCCATCCTGTCCTGTGTTTGTCACAATCAACACTGTTTCTATTCTGCTGCAGTTCAGCTTGTGATAGAACCTATATTCTTGGTCTTGCTATCGGCTATGGACAAAACTGATGGAATTATATAATTACCTGATTATTTCAATGAAAAGGAAACATCAAAACAATGCAGAAAATACTGTAATTATTTAGGCAGCATTTGAAGATTTCCTTTCCTCACCTCAGACAAGCATGTGGATTTTGGCAATTTTCACTCCCGCTTGTGTTTCCAATGGAATTCTCTGACATCCCTAGTGATAGCTCACCATCAACAGCTCCCTGTGGAGAATTCCCTGTGGGAGCTGCTGAGAACTTCTTGAAGACAGCACTGCTATCCACAGGCTCTAAAGGAGGATTGCCATACGTCCAAAATGCTACAGCTGGAATGCGGCAGTCGGTAACAATGTCCAGGCGGAAATGCAAATGTCTAGATGCAAAACTTTAAAAAGCTTTTCTGTCCGGATTTTCACTTTTTGAAATATGGCAACGCAACTCTAAAGCAATAATTCAGGATTCAGTTGTACTTACAGCAATACTTCTTCTATGGCAACTAAGGTGAGCCCTCAACCAGCACAGTTTACTGACAAATTATGATTATCTATCATCTATCTATCTATCTATCTATCTATCTATCTATCTATCTATCCATCTATCTATCATCTATCTATCTATAATTTTTTAACATATATGTTCCAACAATCATTTAACATAACTTCTTATCTTATACAGTATTTTAGACTTCCGTCAACAACCTCTGAAGATTTTCCGTTCTTTATCACTTGTTCTGCATTTCTTAATTTCTCTATTACTTTTAATTGTCCTTAACTAATAATTCTTTTCAAAGTCTTCCTTGCAATATTTCACAAAGTCTTCCTTACAGAACTTCTTGCAGTCCTACTAGCATAATCTGTTTATCACAATTGCTTTTCAAATAATTCAAATATTTACTCCAGTCCTCTAAAAATCTCTGATCCCGCAGGTTTCAAATTCTTCCTGACAAATTATGGTTATCAAGGGCTTTCCCGCTGCACTTAATACCTCAGCTCAGGTGCGAGTAACTTGTGGCCCCCAGTCTTATTTTAAAAGCTTCCCTAAGTGTTAAGTGAGGCTTCCGGTAAGAGCAATCTACCCCTCCTCTGGCAAACCTACAGGGCAGGGAAAAATAGGGGAAGAGAGAAAAGGAGGTATGATAAGGAGAGGGAGAAAAGTGTGTAGTAGAAAGAGATAAAGAATGAGAAAGGGGGGGGTGTCTGCTTCTGGCTCTGGTTTTGGACCCACCCACAGCGGGCATGTGCCCACTGACAGATTATTCTGAAAGGAATGTAGTCCTTGACAGAAAAAGCACCATTGCCCCTGCTCCGACCATACACAAAACAGTATAGGGATACGTGGGCTGGACAGATACATACCTTCATTGACTGGAGGTGGAGGTGGCGGCTGTCTATCTATAAAACAGGAAGAGGTTTATGAAGAGGAGACAAGGGTTTCTGCCATGCTTCAGGGGTACCTGGAAGAATCTGGCCCCTCTTAGATGGAGTCTGGGTCAGCAGAGGGGTTCATTGTGCTGTAGGAACCACTCACTCATTAGTTATATATATATATATACACAGTGGTACCTCGGTTTAAAAACAGTCCGGTTTAAGAACGATTTGGTTTACAAACTCTGCAAAACCGGAAATAGTGTCCCGGTTTGAGAACTTTACCTCAGTCTAAGAACGGAATCCGAACAGTGGAAGGGCACCGGTGGCGGGAGGTCTCATTAGGGAAAGCGCGCCTCGGTTTAAGAATGGTTTAAGAACGGACTTCTGGAACAGATTAAGTTTGTAAACCGAGGTACCACTGTATATATATATAGAGAGAGAGTTGCTCACTCTTCAGCTCCACGTGGGTGAAATTTGGTACTTTGTGAAAATGTTGAATTATTGAGAAATTAATTGAGTTTCTATTCCTAGCCCTCATGGTTGGGGCAACAAGTTTGCATTCCATGTCTGGACTAGAGTTCAGGGGATGAAATGCCTAAACGCTGCATGCCAGCATGTCTCTTATTCATGTCCCCCAACTGTTTAGCTCAGTCGTACACCAGCCTGAAGAAGAGTTTGGATTTGATATCCCACTTTATCACTACCCGAAGGAGTCTCAAAGCGGCTAACATTCTCCTTTCCCTTCCTCCCCCACAACAAACACTCTGTGAGGTGAGTGGGGCTGAGAGACTTCAGAGAAGCGTGACTGGCCCAAGGTCACGCAGCAGCTGCGTGTGGAGGAGCAGGGAAGCGAACCCGGTTCACCAGACTACGAGACTACTGCTCTTAACCACTACACCACACTTGCTCTCACTGCATTCTCTCTTCTTCACCCATGACCCTGCTGCTCCTGCCGACAAATCCCAAAGCCTATAAAAAGTTGGCATCTCTCTTGGTACATACACACTGGCACAACTTTGTAACATATTCAGAAACATTTATCTGAATGTTTATTGTTGTTTTACATGTAATTTTAAGGGGGATGAGGTGTCAATTTAGCATGGGGAAATGGCTGGCAGGGAAAGGGTTAAGCCACCACTTTTTTTTTTGCTCAAAGAAGCACCCCTCCCCAAACTGCTTCGCATCAGACAAAGCAGCCACTTTTTCTCCATTTGTTTGTAGTGTATGATTTGTCCCTGAGTTGCAAACCCTGCAGACATATTTCCTTACAGCCGCCATTTTGAAAGAGGCATGACACCTACCCATTCTCTGGTTCCTCTTCTGAATCTTCTCTTCCACCATTTGTTGAAAATTGTATGCCTCATTCTCATCGGCGAAGTTGAGCCCCACGCTGCACTCCTGAAAGCAATCCCAAGTCAAAACCTCTGGGGTATGGGACCATGGGAATAACCCTATATGACTCCAGCTCCTTTAACAAAACTGTCACACAGCTCAATGCACATCCAAAAAAGGGAGCTGGAGTTTCCCCAAGTTTACATTTATTTATCTATTAAAATATAATTGAATAACTTTTATATTTTGAAGGCTTAGTTAAAAACAACAACAATAGATGTACATTTGAAATTATATTGTTACTTTAATGAAAAGCAACAAAGCAGAAAATGCTTTCATCTCCACATGCTAACTTTTCTTGCATACAACACAGTAGAATGTGTGAATAAAAATGCTTGCTTTATTTTTTCTGATGTGCTTGTGCTTCTTCTCTGCAGCCTTTGGCCTTTGCGGCAGCTAGACTGGTGACTGGGAGCGGCCGCCGAGACCATATAACACCGGTCTTGAAGGACCTACATTGGCTCCCAGTACGTTTCCGAGCACAATTCAAAGTGTTGGTGCTGACCTTTAAAGCCCTAAACGGCCTCGGTCCAGTATACCTCAAGGAGCGTCTCCACCCCCATCATTCTGCCCGGATGCTGAGGTCCAGCGCCGAGGGCCTTCTGGCTGTTCCCTCATTGCGAGAAGCAAAGCTACAGGGAACCAGGCAGAGGGCCTTCTCGGTGGTGGCGCCCGCCCTGTGGAACGCCCTTCCAGCAGATGTCAAAGCGATAAACAACTACCTGACATTCAGAAGACATCTTAAGGCAGCCCTGTTCAGGGAAGTTTTTAACATGTGATATTTTACTGTATTTGTGGTTTTTATGGAAGCCGCCCAGAGTGGCTGGGGAGGCCCAGCCAGATGGGCGGGGTATAAATAATAAATTATTATTATTATTATTATTTCCCTCCAGCAGAGTCACAGGACATTTTAGGAATCCTACACACAGTGCTTTTTTACTGGGGGTAAGCATAACCCAAATCATTTTGTGAATCTTTGTACTTTTGACCATTTACTGTATTTATTTCCCCCGATTTGAACTCTAAAATGGTGATTTTCTTGAGTCAAAAGGAGAGTACCCCTAAACATTTTTTTAAGAAAAAAAGCACTGCCTACACGTATATGCACATATTCACATACCCACATTTTCAACAATCTAAAGAGCTCTCACATGGAAGAGGCTTGCTTTCTCCTGCTCTGGAGGTTAGGACCTGAGCCAATGGCCTCAAGGAAGGAGATTCTGACTAAACATCAGGAAGAACTTTCTGACAGTAAGAGCTGTTGGATGGTGGAACAGACTCACACGATAAGATGGTTGTCTCTCCTTCCTTGGAGACTTTTAAACAGAGATTGGATGGTCACCTGTCATATATGATCTAGTTGAGACTCCTGCCTTGCAGGGGGTTGGACTAGATGACCCTCAGGGTCCCTTCCAACTCTACAATTCTATGATTCTATGAGTCAATACTCACATCTCCTGAAAAGGTGTGGAAATAAGAGGTGGGAGCCAAGTAGACCAGCTGGCTGCACAATTCCTGCTCCCAGGTCATCTTCCTATCCTGAAACAAAGGAGCAGAGAAGGGATAGAGGAAGCAATTCCCCTTAATATGATGCATTTCTGTACATTATTTCCACCAATATATGCATTTTTATGCCTCCTTGACCCCAGTATGTGCATTTTTGTATACATTACCGGGCTGGAGAGCTGCATTGACAAATTCAAATAAGTGTGAATTTGGAAGGCTAGCTATAGTTTGCTTGGCATGTAGTCCAGAAGGTGTGAATTAGGTACAGTAGGTTGGCCTTTGAATAAAAACTGAATCAAATGTTTCCCTGGTCTTCTTTCACTCCTGTGCCGTGCCATTCAGATCTGGGCTTGTGGCTAAACCTTCTCTCCTCACTAGTATTTGTTGTGAGTCGAGGCCTCACCCCCGCTTGGAGATAAAATAAGACACATGGACACAAGTATTTTAGGTTAATGGGCTAAAAAAGGCCATAACTTTATTGGTTACAGGATGTGAGTGGTATTGGCTTAGGCATTGGATCGAACAGACTATACTTGACTCCTGCCCGTTCTGCAAGGAGTCACACAAGGGTTAACAACCTGTGGGGGAGCTTGTTGACTGGAGGGTCCTGCCATGGCCCTAGCCACCACCTGGGCATCAGACAGGAACGATGACCACCAGATTCCTTTAGCAGAATACCCTTCAAGGGGAGGGGTAGGTGGTGGCCACAAGCTCCCCTCCGACACAACAATGCATTTTCCAATGCCTAACAAAGTTCTGACGATTTTCGACGAGGTAGGCAAAGAACCAAGTAGTTGGTGCCAATCTCCCAAGTGGAAAAAATTCCTTCCCAAAATACAGATGTGCCTTCACACTGGCCAGATTGCATGTGGTGCCCTCTGGCGTGCTTGAGGGCAGATACCAAAAGATTCCAACTGAGAAACGACTCTGCCCCTGTGGAGATGGCAATCTGGAAACAGTGGCTCATGTTCTCCTGTCCTGTCCCCTTTATAAAGATCTGAGGAATGAGATCATCACCCCACTATTACTTACCATCCCAGGCCGCCTATCTGAGGCCACATTGCTCTTTCTTTTATCAGATCAAAATGATCAGACAACAGCAAAGGTTGTTAGGTTTATCGAGAGTGCAATGAGATTAAGGGCCACTATCTGAACAATAATCTTGGTCATCTGATTGTCCTTTTTACCCATTGTTGTCTTTTTAATTGTATATATTGCTTGTTTTCTGTTGCTATGGCTGTTGGCTAATGCGAATAAAGTTTATCTATATCTATCATCTATCTATCATCTATCTATCTATATGTCATCTATCTATCATCTATCTATCTATATGTCATCTATCTATCATCTATCTATCTATCTATCTATCTCTATCTATCTATCATCTATCTATCTCTATCTATCTATTTATCTATCATCTATCTATCTATCTATCTATCTATCTATCATCTATCTATCTATCTATCATCTATCTATCATCTATCCATCTATCTATCTATCTATCATCTATATCTATCTATCTATATCTATCTATCATCTATCTATCTATCTATCTATCATCTATCTATCTATCTATCTATCTATCATCTATCTATCTATCTATCTATCTATCATCTATCTATCTATCTATCTATCTATCTATCTATCTATCTATCATCTATCTATCATCTATCTATCTATCTATCTATCTATCTATCTATCTATCATCTATCTATCTATCTATCTAATCTATCTATCTATCTATCATCTATCTATCTATCTATCTATCTATCTATCATCTATCTATCTATTATCTATCTATCTATCTATCTATCTATCTATCTATCATCTATCTATCATCTATCTATCTATCTATCTATCTATCTATCTATCTATCTATCTATCTATCATCTATCTATCTATCTATCTATCTATCTCTATCTATCTATCATCTATCTATCATCTATCTATCTATCATCTATCTATCTATCTATCTATCTATCTATCATCTATCATCTATCATCTATCTATCTACAGTATCTATCTATCATCTATCATCTATCTATCTATCTATCTATCATCTATCTATCTATCTATCTATCTATCTATCATCTATCATCTATCTATCTATCTATCTATCTATCTATCTATCTATCATCTATCTATCATCTATCTATCATCTATCTTATCTATCTATCATCTATCTATCATCTATCTATCTATCTATCTATCTATCATCATATCTATCTATCTATCTATCTATCATCTATCTATCTATCTATCTATCTATCTATCTATCTATCTATCTATCTATCTATCTATCTATCTATCATCTATCTATCTATCTATCTATCTATCATCTATCTATCTATCATCTATCTATCTATCTATCTATCTATCATCTATCTATCTATCTATCTATCTCTATCTATCTATCTATCTATCTATCTATCTATCTATCTATCTATCTATCTATCTATCTATCTATCATCTATCTATCTATCTATCTATCTATCTATCTATCTATCTATCTATCTATCTATCATCTATCTATCTATCTATCTATCTATCTATCTATCTATCTATCTATCATCTATCTATCTATCTATCTATCTATCTATCTATCTATCTATCTATCTATCTATCTATCTATCTATCTATCTATCTATCTATCTATCTATCTATCTATCTATCTATCATCTATCTATCTATCTATCTATCTATCTATCTATCTATCATCTATCTATCTATCTATCTATCTATCTATCATCTATCTATCTATCATCTATCTATCTATCTATCTATCTATCTATCTATCTATCTATCTATCTATCTATCATCTATCTATCTATCTATCTATCTATCTATCATCTATCATCTATCTATCTATCTATCTATCTAATCTATCATCTATCTATCATCTATCTATCTATCTATCATCTATCTATCTATCTATCTATCTATCTATCTATCTATCTATCTATCTATCTATCTATCTATCATCTATCTATCTATCTATCATCATCATCTATCTATTCTACTAGGCCCCTTGGACAACCAAGGCGACCAACCAAAGTCCATAGCACGGTCAAGAAACGAAGCAAAAACCTAAAGGGAGGGAGGGCGGGTGATCCAAGGAGAGTCTGTGTGCCCACAGTCATTCAAATACGGCTAAACCATGCCCCCACCCAGCCATATTGGCTGGCTAGTGGGCATGATGCGGGCACAGGACTCAGTGATGCAGGGGGCTTGGTTACGCCCCCTGCGAATGCGGGCAGAGGTTCCCGCTCACAACACCTCCCCTCCGGGAAGATTAGAGGCTCTGCGGACTTGACATCATTTTATTCTCATGAAGGAGCTCCAGGGGCTCACACCTGGAAGGGTGACAGGATGAAGGGCAAGGTCACAAGGGAGCCAGGGAATTGGTACCTTCAAATCATAGAAGCGCATGAAATAGGAACGTCTGGGGTTATCCTTCACGAAGCACAGGACCCCGCAGCCTTGCTTGGACCAGCTTCTGCTGCCTTGAGGCAAGGCCAAGAGGAGTTGGGCCACAGTTGTGACCATGGTCTAGCGGGAAAGAGCAAACGCATGTTAATGATCTACCTGAGCCAAGGATGCCCAGCCACTGTCAGAATCTCACGCCTCCTGCAATTTCCTACAAACCACACCAAATCCCTAACCCAAAGATGGAGAACCATAGACCAGGGGGTAAAACCAGGGGCAGACTTAGGGCACTGTGAGCGGTACAGTTACAGGGCTTTGAGAAGGAGCGGGAGAAGGAGACAACAAACTGTCATTCCGGTAACTTATTAAAATTAACTTCTCCCAGGATCCAAGTCGTGTTTTGTGGAAGTATTATATTTTGGAATCAAGGAGGCCAGGACCCCCGTTTCAATATAAGGGCAGGTCTCAGCTGGATTCAAACCACGGAGGAGCCATGAAATGGGGGCCTGTGAACAGGATTTTTTGGGGGTGGGGGGCAAACATTGTTGAGCTTTTTCTTGTGAGATCATGAGTAGAAATCCCCCCCCCAAAAAAAGAGGATTTTACAGGGGGCAGTCTTGCGGGGGGGGGGGCAGAACCTCAGTTAATTGAGCATTTTTAATGCTTTTCAAAGTTTTTTTTAGGATTCAGGGGGAGGCAGCTGCCCCCACCTGCCCACGTCCATACCTGTGAAACTTTCCTTGGGACTCTACTTCCCCTTGGCCTCATCCAGGGACGTACCTTGAAGGTTGTTCCCTGCCAAGGGTGCAGGCCCAAGGAAGAGCAAAAATTATGCCTCCCCCCCCCCGGCTTGGAATGGCTAGCAGGAGCGTGTTGTATGATGCACATCTCAAATTAAGTGATATTTTATCTTGTCACTACAGGCCATGAAATATACTCACAGTCGAGAGTGGATTTCATGCTCTTTATTCAGCCCATAATGGTGAGGAGGAATGGAAGTTCCCCCAGAGTTTCTGCTTTATATACATTATTTACACAATGGGCTTCACGTGATTGGCTAATTCCGGGATTCTCCTGTAAGCCAATCAGGTCGCGGATTCACTTTCACCTGGAGCTGGATTGGGTGGCTCCTGTGGACCAATCAGAGTGCTGCATTCTGAATCCTATTTTTCTAGGACCAATCAGACTGCTGCCTTTTGGATCCTATTCAACTCAGTACATAACAGGCCACATATCTGTTTGTGGATAAGGATATTCCCCTTCATATTTTGGTCCAGAATTTTTGAACCAGGTGAAAGGGTCTATTCTGAAGGCGGGTATGGCTGCACGATGGGGCTTTCCGGATGTCATCACTGCCCAAACCACCACACTGGGCCTCTTGAGGAAGTGGTTTTCTTCCCCCATTTCCTGCAGACAAGGCAGCCTACAAACTACGACCTGCAGCATTCTCACTTTACAAATCAAGCGATTGCTTCATAGCAATACCTCCAGTCTCTTCTACACAGAAGGTGAAAGAGATTCAAGATGCAGTGAGAAATCAGGTTTTTGTTGAGCATCCCAAGCCTAGAGCATTGCCATCTGCTGGTTTCAAACCACCCCGACCGGGGCATCTTTTTATTTCCAAAACAATGCTAGTCAGTTACCAATTTAAGTCTGCATCAAGAGGCAGGGAGTTCCGAAGTATGGGTGCTGCCACACTAAAATATTGATTTCTTACAAATACGGAATGAGTATTACGTAGCACCTGTAACAGAGCCGGTTCCAGAGACTGAAACTCTGAAGTGGGCATTTGTGGGATGATGGGGTCTCTCCCCCCCCCCGAGGTACTACCCCTCCCCTAACTCCCCCACCACTTCCGGACTGCTCTCTTACTGTTTGTCATAATTTTCTAGCATTTTCTCATTTATCCCCAAGCCAACGCAGAAAGGGAAGTCAAGCTGAGAGGGACTGGCCCCAGGCCGCCTGCTCCGAACCAAACTCAGGGGTCCTCTGCATTGTACCACTTGAATCCCCCCCCCCAATGTGGCCATTAAATCCCAGTCCACAACCACCTGCCGTCCTTGTGGCAGCCTCCTCCCTCCCCTCGACTCTCAGGAAGTTCTGGCTTCTGCTTCCAAGGCCCTTCCGCCCCTGTGAAATGATAACAGAATTACCGTGCACTTTCTGCCCAACAGTTCAAAGACCTGCTGGTTCTCATGGTCCTCGAGGAGGGAGGAGGACACGTTCTCCTGCTGCGTCCGGGCTGCTGGCTTGGACCTCCGGCTCATCCTGGCCCTGTCAAGATGCCTCAGGGGCTCTGCGCTCTCCGATCTCAGCCAAAGCGAACTTCCGCGTTGCGAGGGCTTTTCAACAGGAAGCTCAGAAACCACCGGGTCACACGCATGCACACACACTGAGCTGGGTTCCCCATCTGGCTGACAAGACCAAGCCGCAGGGCCAGTCAGAGAAGGGCCCCGGAAGCGCAGATACATGCATTGGAGCAAAATGTGACAAAACAATTTCACCCGAGAGCTGCGCATTAGTGCATTGGCCCAGCAAAAAAACTAGAGAAGCATTTACTCAATGATAAATTTAAAAAATAAAATGATTTCCTTCTCTCTCTTTTTCGGTGCCTTGTTTTCCTGTTCCCTTTTTTATTATCATTATGGCTAGGGCCCTCAAGAGCTGCAGGTGGCCTGGGTCTCCCTGAACCTCTTGAGAGGGCCTCCCCAAAGCTACCCAGCAAGATTGAGGCACAAATAATGAAGCCAAGCCCAGTCTCAAATCTTCCATTCTTGGGCAAGGTGATTGAACGGGTGGTTGCTGAACAACTCCAAGCACACCTGGAGGATGCGGACCATTTGGATCCCTTCCAATCAGGGTTCAGGCCTCACCATGGGACTGAAACTGCCTTGGCCGCACTGCTTGATGATCTCCGGTGGGCTAGGGACAAAGGTGAGAGCTGTTTCCTAGTAGTGCTTGATCTCTCAGCAGCCTTTGACACCATTGACCATAACATCCTTTTGGACCATCTAGAGGGGCTGGGAGCTCTGTTATACAGTGGTTCCGCTCCTTCCTCCTGGGCTGTGTCCAGAAAGTGGTGTTGGGGGATTAGTGTTCAGACCCCTGGGCTCTCACTTGTGGGGTGCCTCAGGGTTCTGTCCTCTACCCCATGCTTTTTAATATATATGAAGCTGCTGGGAGAGATCAGGGGGTTTGGGTTGGGTGTTCATCAGTATGCGGATGATACCCAGCTCTACCTCTCCTTTAAATCAGAACCAGTGAAGGCGGAGAAGGTCCTGTGTGAGTGCCTGGAGGTGGTTGGAGGATGGATGGCGGCTAACGGATTGAGGTTGAATCCTGACAAGACAGAAGTACTGTTTTGGGGGGACAGGGGGCGGGTGGGTGTGCGGGACTCTCTGGTCCTAAATGGGGTAACTGTGCCCCAGAAGGACCAGGCGCGCAGCCTGGGAGTCATTTTGGACTTCCAGCTGCCCATGGAGGCACAGGTCAATTCTGTGTCCAGGGCAGCTACCAGCTCCATCTGGTACGCAGGCTGAGACCCTACCTGCCCGCAGACTGTCTTGCCAGAGTGGTGCATGCTCTAGTTATCTCCCGCTTGGACTACTGCCATGTGCTCTACGTAGGACTTTGAAGGTGACCCGAAAACTGCAATTAATCCAGAATGCGGCAGCTAGACTGGTGACTGGGAGTGGCCACTGGGACCATATAACACCGGTCCTTAGAGATCTGCATTGCCTCCCAGTACATTTCCGAGCACAATTCAAAGTGTTGGCGCTGACCTTCAAAGCCCTAAATGGTCTCGGCCCAGTATACCTGAAGGAGCATCTCCACCCCCATCATTCAGCCCAGACACTGAGATCTAGCGCCGAGGGCCTTCTGGTGGTTCCCTCATTGCGAGAAGTGAGGTTACAGGGTGCCCGCCCTGTGGAACGCCCTCCCATCAGATGTCAAGGAAATAAGCAGCTATCCTATTTTTAAGACATCTGAAGGCAGTCGTTTAGGGAAGTTTTTAATATTTAATGCTGTATTGTTTTTAACACTTGATTGGGAGCCGTCCAGAGTGGCTGGGGAAACTCAGCGAGATGGGTGGGGTATTAATAATAATAATAATTGGTAAAGATGAAGGCTGTGACCCAGACTGTGTTCATTTATAGCACTCCTACCCACCCATTCGGACAAACCTTTAGGAGTGGGAACAGAGGCACTCACACCTGATCTTCATCCCGGCAACTGAGAAGCATGATCTAGAGTTCAACACCACATCTGCAGCCAGGGAGAAACACTCAAGGATCATATGAACCCGGGCTTATCAAGGATGTGGCCTGGGAAGAGTCTCAAGGGGCACTTTTGACCCCTGAGCACCTGAGATGCTCCACCTCTACACCGTTCTATTTACATGGCTGGTCTTAACCTCTGAAGCCCTCAATGGTTTGAGCTACTTATGTGCCCACCTGCATATTTGCACCTGTACCATGCTGTCCTCTTGGGATGGCCATCCCCTTAGATCCATAAGCTGGGTGACCATGGGGGGGGGGAGTGTTCTCCATGGTGGTCGCACAGACTTAGAACTCCTTCTCAGCAGAACTGTGGCCGAGGGCTGCACATCAGGGTCAGAAGGCCTTAAAAGACTTGTTTCGGTTGGCCTTCCCCAAAATCATTTTTGTTCTGTTAGCTAAATAGATGCTGGGTAGGTCCTATTCCATAAGTTTTCTGTAATGGTGGGTGTACACACACAAAATAAAATAATAATAATTGCAGTTTTGACTGCGGTAAACCACTTTGGATGGGCATTTGCCTAGAAAAGCAGTGCAGAAATATTTAAAAATGAAATAAATAAAACAAATTCCCTGATATTAAAATATAAAAGATGGCACAAAAACAATGTATTCTTTCCCCCTGGCTCCTTTGTTGATTCACAAGGGATGTATGAGCAAATACACTTGGGTGCATGTATAAATTACATGTGCGCACATGTACAAAAGTTTGAAAAACCATTTTGAAAGGCCGTGTACCTAAAAGGCAGTATGTGAACATTTAAAATAAAACAAAAAACACATACATAAAAGCATTCAGACTGCCTCAATGCAAAGTCAGTCATTCTTTATTGAATTCCAAAATTATACAAATACTGTGTCCTTACATCCATTTCACATTTTGAATTTGTGTTCCCTCCTCCCTTAAATCCAAATCCCTCCCCTACCCCCAAGCAGAAATAAGAGCCCTTGAGTCTACATAAAAAACTTCCAGAGATTTTCAGACACGGGGAGAAGGGAAGGACAGAAAGTTAAGAGGTCACCTGGACGCGAGTGGGGAAGGTGCGTTTGTAGTGAGATATACGTATGAAGCTGGGAGAAAAATAAAGGCGGGGATCTGAACAGGTAAAGTGTGTGAGAGAGGCCTATCCCATCAATGGTACAAATGGATCCTCCATCCAGGTGATTGGCTCAGTACAGGTGGATGCTCTCAACCAGGTGCCTTATCTAGCATTCTCCTTGATTCTGGTCCAGATCTAACTAGATCTGGAAGAAGGCAGCAACTACTATATAGGCCAGAGGTTTTCCACCTTTTTGTGTCTGCGGCTCCCTTGACCAACTACAGTGGTACCTCAGGTTAAGAACTTAATTCGTTCTGGAGGTCTGTTCTTAACCTGAGGTACCACTTTAGCTAATGGGGCCTCCTGCTGCTGCCACACTGCAATTTCTGTTCTCATCCTGAAGCAAAGTTCTTAACCCGAGGTACTATTTCTGGGTTAGTGGAGTCTGTAACCTGAAGCATCTGTAACCTGAAGTGTCTGTAACCCAAGGTACCACTGTACGTTCTTTCTGTGGCACCCCTGTGAGGCTCAGGAGCCCAGTTCTGTCACCCCTTCCCTGCAGAGCTGGCAGCCTCTCACCCTTTTTCAAATACCCTCCTTTGTGGAGGGTTCCCTCAGCCTCATCTCCTCTCCCCTTGGGAGTCCTCTGGGCAGCCACTACCACCGCCCTTGGTCTCTGAGCTGCCCCATCTGCCCCAAAGAGAGGTGCCTTCTCACACTGCCCCACAGGGGCCTAGGAAGAGGATGTCCCCAGCCTTAGTGGCTCAACAGAGACTAGCCAAAGGTGAACGTGAGGCCAGCACCTTACCTGGGGAGACAGCAGTGGCAGCAGCGGGTGCTCCGCGGCCTGCAAGGTGGAAAGGCTCCCTTCAGCACCAGGCATTCAGCCTCCCATGCAGGCCTTTCACACAGCAAGCACAAGAAAGGCCAACACAGCCACTGCCTGCCAGGCCTCCCACTTCTCTGTCCATTCCCAACAGCAAGGTCTGGTGGACTGGCTGGCTGGGCTTACTCCGAAGCTGCCTTAGCTCCTGGCAACCAGCACCCCCTGGCCAGCTCCAGAGACACCATTCACTGATCTAGACAACTATGATAGGCTTCTCCTCTCCTCTTGTGTTTCAAAATGACCATCGGGTGGACTCAGCAATGGGATGGTGCTAGCACCTCAAGGGCAAAATATACAAGCACTCCTTGGGTGAACAGAGACATGGGTTTTGGGAGGCCTCTAGGTCACCACTGGGCACCTAGAAGTAGCAGTGGCATGGCTTTTGAAGCGATGCAGGACACGTTCCGCAATAGATGTCAGATGAAATCAGGTAGACTATGTTGTGTGGACAAGTAGCTCCTCCTCGAGTGGGATGGACAGCAAGCAGCCATGGCTACCACTGGTTTTAGGAGAGGACACCACTTGTGTGGAAATCTTCACTTCAAAGTGTGCATTTCCAAAGCTCCCAAACACTGTACAGTTTCAGGATTTCAAAACCCAGTATACATACTAGCAAATATGCGTGTAGTAGATCAAGTACTGTAACAAGTTTCTGTTAAACAGGTCCACATGTTGAGGTCATCTGATAGGAACAGTACATACAACTTAACCCGGCCCAAGGCATCCTTTTTATTGTGAAATTCATGATTATTTGTGGTCGTACAGAATCAATACTGTGTGTGCCTGCAAAAGTTTTGGGGTGGTCACACTGCTTCATTGCCAATCAGTGAGTATCCCGTAACTTCCTGCTGAAATCCCACAACTGTTTATACCACAACTGATGCGTTATAGGTTTTTTGTGGCAAAAATGTGGTTGCGCTGGGCAAGCATCACGTAAGAAACTAAAGCAGGGAAAATCCACTGTTAATGCATTACTGTGCCAAACAGAACACACCTGCGATAAAACGCCCATTTGGAGGGGCTCTGGGTAGACAGAAGCAACCTGTGCACAAAGGAAGCGACAACAAAACAAACTGGAAGGCAAACTCAGAAGAAAACCTCTAGCCATAACACCCATTTGCTAAAGACTGTCCCAAATAAAATTATATTGTGGTGGAGGTAAAATGGAATAGGACGGGTAGGGTGCCCACAATAATGGACAATTCTTATCACTGTATGAGAAAATCCGTGATAATTATAATTCTACTTAGAAGCTCTGTCCCCAGGGACGCTTTGCAGGTGGATCACAGAGTTGTGGGCTCTTTCAGATCTGGAAAGGAGTTTATGTGCAATCCTATGCAACCATACTTAGTAGTATGCCCCTTGGATCTAAATGAAGCTTACTTTACATGCATAGGACTACACTGTTAACCTGGGAATGGCCAGTCCTTCAACATTAGGGTTCTTGTACAGTGGTACCTCTGGTTAAGAACTTAATTCGTTCTGGAGGTCTGTTCTTAACCTGAAAGTGTTCTCAACTTGAGGTACCACTTTAGCTAATGGGGCCTCCTGCTGTGCCACACAATTTCTGTTCTCATCCTGAAGTAAATTTCTTAACCCGAGGTACTACTTCCGGGTTAGTGGAGTCTGTAACCTGAAGCGTTTGTAACCCGAAGCACCACTGTACTTTTAAAAGTTGTGTAGGTATTTTGGCAGATATAGCTGTCCCGGCTTTTATAACACCTAAGTATGCAAGAAGCCTCTGATAAAAACCCCTCCTTCTGCAAGGCGTAGGAACCCTAATATTGCTAGCTTAACCATTTCCAATTTAATCTAAATCTTGTATTTGCAAGCTCTTTATGGCAGGGACCTATTTTATTCTTATTATTGCTTAAGTTACGCCAAGTACATTGATGGTGCCATGTGAATAGCACCAACTTGGGCATAGATGTTATGCTCACAGGGATAGGACTTGGGCATAGATGTTATGCTCACAGGGATAGGACGAAGACTGAAGTCCTAAAGAACAGGACTAGATATCAGGGGCTTAAGTTACAGGAGGGTAGATTTTGGATTAACATTAGGAGAAACCTCTTGGAAGCAAAAGCACTTTGACAATGGAACCAATGGGGCAGGCTCTCTGTCTAAACGCCTTCAAGCAGAGACAGTCATCTGTTGAGAGATGTTCTAGATCTCTGGATTTCATACACTGAGCAGAAGATTAAATGAGGTCCTCTGCAACTCTTATGATTCTTAAAAAGTTCCCCCTCCCCAAATTAGGTAATATAGCAGCAGGAATTACATGGCACGTCATGGTATCTGTTAAGAGAATGCACAACTCTAATGAAATTAGATGTTCAAGTTGATCGTTTCCCAAGAAACCCGAAGCTGTTCTTTTAGGAATTATAAATAACGATGTATCAAAAGAATTGGCTAACTTATTTATGTATATAACAACAGCAGCACGAATATTGTATGCCCAAAGACCAAAGATAGAAAGAAGGAGAGGTTCCAACAAAGGAAGATTGGCTTTTGAAAACAATGGAGTATGCAGAACTGGCAAGAGACCAAAATGATGGAAAATTCCTTGAGGACTGGAGACTTTTTACTGAGCATTTAAAGAACTATTATAGCGAGATGAAAACGCGAGCAGGACTTGAAATATGAGCATCAGCGTTAATTATTGAGATAAATAGGTTAAAATGTATGCATTGAATAGTATATGCGAAATATGCCACATCTAAAGGTAAATATTGAAACCACGGAAGAGGAGGATGGGAAATCAATGGATATTTTATGGTCTTTTTTGTTTTGCTTTTCTCTTGCTTTTTGTGTGTGCAAAATCAATAAATAAGATTTACCAAAAAAAGAAAGTGAGTCAAGACCATTTAACTAAGCCACCAAGGATCTCAGTTCCCAATCTGTCCAATTAAAAGAAGAAGAAAAGCTATAAAGAAATAGAAAAGATTGAGCTCCCAAGATTGCCATTAAGTGAATGGAGGCAGGTAAAAGAAGCAGATAAAGTTTAATGCATCTAAAACATTGGTTTTAGATATGTTACTGATGGCTTATTATTGATGATAGAGGAAACGTGGTCCAGGGGAGATTTATCATCATGTACTATTTTCAAATCAAGCCTGGGAACATGTGGTGGTAGGCTTGGGATGGGGATATCTGTCCCCAACTCCCACCTACTCCAGCCAGTAAGGGCAACCATCGGGGTAATGGGAGTTGCAGTCCAGCAATGTCTGGTTTGCCAACCCTGAGATATGGTGACCACCATCTCCACAGTACAGTGGTACATTGGGTTGAGAACTTAATTCGTTCCAGAGGTCCATTCTCAACCTGAAATGGTTCTTAACCTGAAGCGTGCTTTTGCTAATGGGGCCTCCCGCTGCCAGGCAATTTCTGTTCTTATCCTGGGGTAAAGTTCTTAACCTGGAACAACTACTTCCTGGTTAGTGGAGTTTGTAACCCAAAGCGTCTGTAATCCAAAGTGTCTGTAACCCGAGGTACCACTGTACATAGAAGGCAATCTGCTAGCCACCTTCAAGTATTTGGAAGGCATGAATTAGTTCTATCATCCATAGATGATGAAATTAATTTGTTGCCTGTCACTCCAGAAGGTAGGATCCAAACCAGAGAATTCAAAAACAAAAAAGAGGATTTTTGACTAAACGTTAAGAACTTCCTGACCATACAAGCTGTCCCCACGCTGCCTTGGAAGATAGTGGACTCTCCTTTCTTAAGAGGTTTCAAAGGAGATGCAGGACAGTCACTTATCAGAGGTGCCACAGCAGTGGATTTCCTGCATCACACTGAACTAGACTATCTTTTGAGATCCCTTTTAAGTCCATGATTCTAAGTGGTTACCAGTTGTGGCTGACCAGCCTTCACAGATTGCCACCCACCAGCAATAGCAAGGCACGGCCACAACTAGTTCAACACTCGCACAACACCACTCAAAGGAACATTAATATATGGAGAAATAAAGGAAGCGTTGTCGCCATGGTAACGGCAGCATCCTTGGGTACTGGCACGGAGGCCAGGATGATTTCTGATATCTGTGTAAAAAAGGGGTGGACAAATGAGGAGGAAAAGACAAAATAACTGGAGAAGAAAGAAGAGACAGGACACTGAAGTGGAGAAGGTTCCAGATCTAGAAAACTGCCCTGGCACAGTTCTTCGCCAGACGGGCAAAGGGAATTCGACAGAAGAGGATGGAACCCCAGTTTCCATTTCACTGCTTCATTTCACCTTGACGCTAAACGTCCAGTGTGTAATACAGTCCACTGCATTTTGGTGCTGGGGGCAGAAAACCCAAAGGGTGTGATCCCCTTTCGCCTCTGGCACAGCGGCAGAAATGAAGGCTATAGTTAATAATTTGCTGCCTTTAAAACAGCACTGCCTGAGAACGGCTATGCCACCCCGTAGGGACTGCTCTGACCCAACTGGCAAAATACATCGGAGCTCTAGCAGGCTGTAGTTCAGCTCTCTGCTGTGGTTTTGCAACAAGGTTCAAAGAGAAAATGAAGAAAGGATTCCAGGCTGGGGGAGGGGGTGCAGGAAGAGGAGGAAATGGCATGGAATGGGGAAAGATAATAAGGTACTGTATTTTTCGCCCTATAGGGCGCACTGGCCCATAGGGCGCACCTCGTGGTTTGTTTTTTTTTGGGGGGGGGAATAAATAAAAATTTATTTCCGACCCCAGCCCCCAGAACAGGCTGCTATCTGCAAGCCTTGCGAGCCTGGTGGCAACTCCCGCCGGGCTCGCAAGGCTTGCGGATAGCTTCCTGAAGCCTGGAGAGCGAGAGGGGTCCATGCGCACCGACGCCTCTCGCTCTCCAGGCTTCAGCGAAAGCCTGCATTCGCCCCATAGGACGCACAAACATTTCCCCTTCATTTTTGGAGGGGGAAAAGTGTGTCCTATAGGGCGAAAAATACGGTACTTACAGGCTGGTGGCTCTCAACACTGACCAAGCACTTCTGCTTTATGCTGCATGCAGAACTGCAATGGGCTTCCCGTGCTTTGGAGGGGGAGGAAATTGCATTTTCTGCGCATGTTCTGTTTACACCTAACACAACCATACAAAAAAGGGAGCAACAATTCACCCAAGAATAGCATCTTACAGCAATTGCCTCCAATTGATTCTTGAATCATTTTTGTAAAAGGTACGGGCTAAAGTGCTTTGTAAAAATTAAGCGTCGTTGCAAGATCACTTCAGTGTTACAAAGTAAGAAAAAAACTAAATTAAAAACAACACCAAAGAAATCAAACGGCACTGAATACGAAAAGGAGAATGGCAGTGTGTGGCGTCTGGTTTTGTTTTTAAAAAACCAACAACACTAAAGTACCTTTTTCATTTAAGTGCTTTTGCGTAACTATTTTAATTTTTAAAAAAGAGCATAGGCAGAAGGAGCAAATTAGAAGATTGACAGCTGGCTAAAATGTCACAGACCAGAAAGGTCACAATGGCATCTTTATAGCAGGTGGGAAAATAGTGCTTAAGGTGATCCGCAAGTGTAAAGACTGCACTACAATCCTGTTTTAATTTTTTTTTTAAAACACTGTAGTCTGAAAGAAGACAGAAGGAAGTTGCATAGGTATAAATTGCAGAAGGAAGACAATCTGACGATGCCATCATGTAGATTTGCCATGAAAAGCTCGTAAACAAAGGTCCATACTAAGGTCCTAATACGGAAGTACCCGTAGCGTAAACATTTCTCCTTGGTTTGCTTGAATTGTCCATCAGCTGGACCTTTTCATGCTCGCTGTACATTAGTGTCAATTACAATGAATTGTGCTGCGGAAAAGCTGCCTCAGCCTATCTCAGGAGCTCTGAAAAGGGCAAACGAGAGAAGCCCCAACCTAATGTAAGGATAGTCAATAGTGTAGCCCAGGGAGTTTTCCAAAGGGAATCAACCTGGCAGCATTTCAGTATTAAGAAGAATTCATCTTTCCTGGGTGGCCTTAGGAGAAATCCAACATTGCTCTGCAACAGGACAGCACAAGGACCTTCTCCTAAGCTACGAGATGAGGGGACTCCACCAAGCCAATTCCTTCCTGCTACCTTCAACACCTTGTTTCCAAACCTCCTGCTGTAACACCACATCCACCTAAGAGCTGGGAAGAGGGTGCCCAGGAGTCCAGTCTGCCCACCCTCCCTCGTTTCAACACCCCAGACCTCGGCCCTATCAGGAAAAAAAACAGAAACCCTGACACCAAGTATGACGAAACCAGGGTGGTTATCTTTGTAATCTTTGGTCTGGTAGCCAGGTCCAAATTAGGTCCAAATTAGGTCCAAGTTAGGTCCAGGGACCCCTGACCATTAGGTCCAGTTGTGGCCGACTCTGGGGTTGCGGCGCTCATCTTGCTTTATTGGCCGAGGGACGTACAGCTTCCGGGTCATGTGGCCAGCATGACTAAGCCGCTTCTGGCGAACCAGAGCAGCGCACAGAAACGCCGTTTACCTTCCCGCCGGAGCGGTACCTATTTATCTACTTGCACTTTGAAGTGTTTTCGAACTGCTAGGTTGGCAGGAGCAGGGACCGAGCAACGGGAGCTCACCCCGTCGCGGGGATTCGAACCGCCGACCTTCTGATCGGCAAGTCCTAGGCTCTGTGGTTTAACCCACAGCGCCACCCGCGTTCCTAGGTCCAAATTAAATATGAGCAAATAAATTAGATTGTCCACTAGGGGCACCGTTGGCTTTTGGCACTCCAACTTGGGGCCACAACCCCCCAGGCACAGCGGGCATAGTTGGTACCAGGCAGAGGAACAGAGAAGTGAGGTGGAGGCTCTGCCCCCATGGCAGCAAAAAGAGCAGGAGCCCGTTTGCATGCTTGGCAACAGAACACAGGAGACAGCCGGGCACCACTGCTGCAACGACAGCCCAGAGTATCCTCCCGTAATGGCAACGATGACGAAATGCTGAGACAGACAGAGAGCGTGCGAGACAGCGCTATTATCCTGGACCCACCCCCGTCCTCCACAAAAAAGTGTAAACCCAAAACTCCACGCAGTTTTGTTGTGCCAAGCAATGGCTGGCCACGGCCTGATTGCCAAAGAGGCAAAGAAGGCCAGGAGCTCTGTGCTCCTACCATAGGAGCTGAAAGCATGTAACGGTCGCTTGTGTTGTCATAGCACCAAAACTGACCAACGAGGAGAGCTTATGCTAGCTCCGTGGCAACGGGCAGCCTCTTTCTGATCACCTGTTTCGTGGCCCCAGAGCCCAGAAGGGCCAAAGAGAAGCTCCCCGCCCATGCCGTTCCAGGTTACTTTGTCATGACCACGAAGGGTTCTTTCCGTCACTTCCCCACAGCGATGGACAGGAGGTGTCGTTCCAGGATGAGCGAGGGTGAACAGGAGGGGGCGATGGCACGTCTCTGTCAGTAAATGGTCCTCCCTGGTAAGAACCACTGTGTCTTTGGGGGGACGGAGGGGGTTAGTGCCCCACTCCGCTGCTCTTCCCTGTCGTTACCCAGTCGGCAATGATGAAACTCAGGCTCATCACCATGAAAACGAAGCCAAGGGCAGCAAAGCAGGCAGCCTGTGAAGGACAAAGAGGAAGACATGATACCCACCGTCCAGTTCCAATTACTGTATTTTGACCATAAGACGCACCTAGTTTTTGGAGGAGGAAAACAAGAAAAAAAATATTCTGAATCCCAGAAGCCAGAACAGCAAGAGGGATAGCTGCGCAGCCTGCATTCGCTCCATAAGACGCACACACATTTCCCCTTACTGTTTAGGAGGGAAAAAGTGTGTCTTATAGAGCAAAAAATACAGTAGCTTGCAAGCTTCAGTGGGGAGAGATGGAGGGGTTGCATGGTCTAATGGGGAGGGAAAGAGGGGGCTGTCCCCCTACTTGGAAATGAGTATCCCACTTGCCATGTTAGTTCTTGGATTCAGCCTCATTCTACCTTTTATATGGTACATTCTACCTTTTATATATACCTTTTACATGCCTTACTACGGTGTCTAAGGAGTCTCAGAGAGACCTGAAAATCAGCTGTGATTTTGTTGACAATTGCTGAAATGATTTTTTATGGGCAGCTAAAAGGTGTGGCGGACCAACTGCATGTCTTCAACAAACTAGGCTTGGAAGTTTCATGGGTGAACAGGTGTCTCCCACAGCCTAGAACACCCAAACCCTTCCCTTGCCACCTATACTCAATCTTAGCTTGAATCCCCAACCTCTCTACCTATCATAGCTATCAACGTTTCCCGTTTTTAAAGGGAAATTCCCTTATTCCGAATAGGATTCCTCGCAAGAAAAGGGGAAAGTTGACAGCTATGCTACCTGTTCCCTTCCCTTGTATATCTTTGCAAACTCATCGACAGGGCTTCTCTCTCTCTCTCTCTCTTTTAATGGAGGTGAACTGTCTGAAAAGCAGGATAAAAATAAATGCATTTTCAGCCAAGAAAAGCTTGGAACAGCTACACTTTCACCTGGCCTCCCATGGGCTCATCTCATCCTTGACTGAGCTCCCGCCCCCATTTCCTTTGGCCTACTGTGTTGAACCACTTTCCCTTCCCTCTCACATTCCCACCCACCGGCCAGCATCTGGTACCTGTATTTTGGATCTGGATCTCAGGGGCTCTTTCTCGTTGGGGATAATGCGGATGTAGAAGATGCTTGGGAGGATGAAGATGAGGCTGGGGGCCGACGTGGCTCCTGAGGGGGGAAGAGTCAGAAAAGGGAACATATTCTTGGGTATGTTAGGTTAACACCTATGCCATACATTCAAAGCAGCATCACATCCGAACTCTGAGTCTGATGTTGGTCATCAAAGGATCCCTAAATCAGAGGCTGGCAGACAGCAGCCCCTGAAACCAGGTTCTGCAGCACCAGGGCTCTCAAAGGCACCCCCCCCCATGCCAAGGAACCAAAGGCTTCCCATGTCCCCTTGCCAGTCCTACAGCTCAGGGAGCAAACCACACCAAGGAGCAAAGAATGAGTTCCAGTCTCCAGGTCAGAGGGTCGATCCTTTAAGAGACTCTCCAGAACAGGACACTTCCCTCCCTGGAACGATCTCAAGAAAATCGCCCACCCCACCTGCTCCAACAATCCACACACACTTATTGGCACAAAAATGGAAGCAAGAAGAATTACTGACGAAAGAAGAACGGCGGGTGAAATTAATGGACTATGCAGAATTAGATAAATTAACAGGAAGGATTTGATAAACCTGCGGGACCAGAGATTCTTAGAAGACTGGAGTAAATATATGAACTACTTTAAAAGCAATTGTAATGAACTGATTATGCTAGTAGGACTGCAAGAAGTTCTGTAAGGAGGACTATTTGAAATATTGCAAGAAAGATTATGAGAAGAATTATTAGTTAATGATAATTAAGAGTAACAGAGAAATTAAGAAATGCAGAATAAGTAATAAAGAACGGAAAATCATCAGAGGTTGTTGACGAAAGTCTAAAATGTTGTATAAGAAGTTATGTTAAATGATTGTTGGAAATGATATGTTTATACACACACACACACACACACACAATCAATCCACACACACCACATTAGACACACATATCATTAGACACAAATGCGAGGTTCCCCATCCACAAACTCTAAAACTCACTGCCGCATGCTAAACCCTGCTCACCTCCAGGCACCCAATATCCAGTTTTTAAAAAACTGCTTGTGAGGTTGCTGATCAAATCATGAATGTTAAGGTCAAGCCCAGCCCTGAGCCCCTCTGCTACGCCTTCCTAACACAGGTCATACATACCAATGACTCCAAAAATGTCCTTGATGTTTGGCACGAAGATGACAAGAAGGTTGACAATAACAAGGAGGCAGCAGGCAATGATGACATGGCGGACCCAGCTGAAATCCTTTTTGTGAAACAGCAACTGCTGGATGGCCCTGCGGATCTGTGGTGGGTGGTGGGAATTGAGTGTGTGAGCTATACTGGGCAAAGAGGCAGTAAGGGATACGCAAGAGATCTCTGTCACTCGCTGTTCAACTGCAAGTCTCCAGGGTGGTAGCTTTATCTCTCTGCCACGGCAAGAGAGATAGCTTTATCCCAGGACCAATGCTAGCCTTTACGGGGCACTGGGTTGTCTTTGCTCAAAGGCAGGGGCTTTAATTTTATTTTTACGTATTTGCAAAGAAATCCCTATACTGTCAATGCCTAGATACACATCATGGTAGCAAACAACAATTCAACAATTAAATTACATTGATAAAACAAATACAGAATGCATCAGTCGAGCAACAGATCAGATCAGCAGATCAACATAGCTGGATCACCTCTCAGGGAAAGCCTGGTTTAAGCAAGTGCCTAAATCAGATGTTTGAAATCTTCTGGCTCCCCGGATGTTGCTGAACTACAAGTCCCATCAGCGCTGACCAGCTGCAGTTGGTGGGACTTGTAGTTCAGCAAAATCTGGAGGGCCAAAAGTTGCCTCATCCCTGACCTCAGAATGCGGGTCCCGCTTCTGACAGTGAATTGGGATGGCAGCGAGAGACGAAGGGAGGCAGATTGGAGAAACTAAGTGCAGGTGCTTTGGGGAGGAAAGCCATTTTTGTTTTAATTTTTAATTTTTTACCAACCACCAAAACACAAACAGTGAAATCCCCCAGGCGGCTGATACACTGGGTATACAATATTCAATAATATACATATTCAAATTAACCATATGTACACTTCTATAGGCAGGACTCAGGTGGCGCTGTGGATTAAACCACAGAGCCTAGGGCTTGCCGATCAGAAGGTTGGCGGTTCAAATCCCCGCAACGGGGTGAGCTCCCGTTGCTCGGTCCCTGCTCCTGCCAACCTAGCAGTTCAAAAGCACGTCAAAGTGCAAGTAGATAAATAGGTACCGCTCTGGCGGGAAGGTAAACGGTGTTTCCATGTGCTGCTCTGGTTTGCCAGAAGCAGCTTAGTCATGCTGGCCACATGACCTGGAAGCTGTACACCGGCTCCCTCAGCCAATAAAGCAAGATGAGCGCCGCAACCCCAGAGTCGGCCACGACTGGACCTAATCGTCAGGGATCCCTTTACCTTTTTACACTTCTATATAGCTTAACACTCCTCCTTCCACAGGTTTATTTAACTTGTAACATTTTAATTGCCCCAAATAGTTCAAACCTACTTAAATAATTCAATATCTTCTCAAACCAATCCTCCTCTTTCTCACTGACGTTAAACCCTTTCATTCTATGTATCTTCCCAGTTAGATATTCTAAAATTATAATATTATTCAGTTTTTTCCTCCATTGGTTCACCCCTAGCAGTTCTGCATTTTTCCAATTACTCGCTATAACCTGTCTGGCTGCAGGGAGGAAAGCCATTTGACGCTGCAACAGGGGATGAAAAAGGCAGTCTCTTACCGGAAACAGAACCACAGGCACTGTGAGTGTCACAGCCATCAGCACAGCCAACCGCACAGAGAGGATGAGCTTGTCCATGGCGTCAACTTTGATATAAGTGTGCAGCATCTCTGCTTCAACACTCTCTGCCAGAAAGGAGAAGAGATATACTCATCAGTCCGAGAGGTGGAGGACAAGAAACGACAGGGTCTGGGGCCAGATGGGAGGGCTTTTGACTGGGACTTCAGAAAGGTCCTTAAGAGGGTACTTTAGGACGCCACAACGGCATTAGTTCTCAAGCTGGCAAAAGATCTTGAGCTGAAGACAGGAGTGACATCGGGGTGTGGATTCAGGCTTTGTGCCAGCATCAATCTTTGGCCAGGAAAGGAAGAGATGTAGCGCAGCGAGAGAGAGAGCATGTGCTTTTTATGCACAAAGTCCCAGGTTCAATCCACATCAACTTTAGGTAGGGCTGGGAAAGACTTGTCTGAAACCCTGCCAAACTGTTGCCAATAAGGGGAGACCAGAGATTTCCAACATGGTGCCCACGGTTGCCAATGTGCCCACCAGCATCTCCCATGGAACCCACAACAGGTCTCCATAAATATCCCCTCAAAAATCCGCTGGGAATGACAGTTCACTATTCCTGCTCAGCCTCTCCAACACTGAAGCCTTTATGTCACGCCTGTGGCAGCCATTTTGTGTCATGCACACCCCACAACAGCCATTTTGTGATATATATACTATGTCCTCATTGCAGCCATTTTGTGACTGATGCTCATGACACTTTCTTGAAATTCCAAGTCTGTTCCCTGGCATAAAAAGGTTGGCTGCCCTTGTTGTAAACGATGCTGAACCAGATAGACCAATGGTCAGACTCAGTATGAGCCAGTCCAGCCAGGAAGCTTCTTGTTCTGAGACAATAAAAGACTTTACTTTTTGTGCTACCTAAAGATCGCTTCCCATCTGCCTTGCCCCCAGCATGACAGGAGCTGAACCAAACAGGATATGCACACATTCCCTTAGGATTTTTTTTAAGACAGTTGCCTGCATGCTCAAAAAAAGAACGTGTACACCTTTTCTTTCAACTTTGTTTGCACACAAAAACATGCAAATGCAGGAAGACCAACCAATTCTGCAACTCATTTTTTATTTTGTATCCAATATAACATTCTAGAAGTGCATCCTATCATGACTGTACCGTTGAGTGGGGAAGTTATTCTGTATACACTATACAGCAATAGTAAATTAAATACAGGCCCCACCCCCATTCCATACCCTTTCAGGTCCAAAAGGACCCATGCATCAGCGACTGCACATCAATTGAACATGCCTGAAATGATCGCCACATGCAACTAACAAAGTGTTGCTGTTTCATGACCCTTGAAGTCTGATGCTACTGCATCATTCTATGTCATAGGAGGGACGGCTCTGTTCGCTTCTCTGTTCCTGTGCATGAAAGATAATTAAATGGTTTGACCCCCATTATTACCTACTGAGGGAGGTTGTTCCTTACCGTAGAAAGTGAGGTAGCCAAAAATGGCGGTCAGCAGGTACATGACAAACATGGCGAGGATGGAGACATTTGCTACATTCTGCATCCGACGTTTGGAGGCCCTAGGCAAGGCACAGAGAGTTCACGTCTACTGTTTATAACCTATACTTAGCCCCAATCCCTTTTCAGAGTGGTGTGGGGTAACAAAACCTAGGATTTCTGGTTCCCAAGCCCTTGCCAGACAATGGAGATTGGAAGTCTATCTCATTCAAGATGGATACCTTCAGTCAGTGCTGGTCCCCAAGCACCAATCAAAATGCAGCACACAAACCCAACAGGTTCCCCCTCCAAGGCCTGAGAGGGTATCCCAGAGGCCTCTGGGGCAACCCCTCATTCCCCAAAGAGAAGGGCACCTACCACTCATGTGACCTGGGGATGACGACTGGCTGGATTCCAAGTGGGTGTGGTGATGTTTTATGATGGCTGGGTGGGAATCCAACCCCCAGGCAGCATCCCGGGTTCAAGAAGGCTGTCCTTGCTCCCCTGTGATGTGCTCCTCCTATTCTAGCCCCCCGCTTTCCCCCAGTTAGAAAAGACCCCTGTAGTTTGGGGAAACTTATTGCAGGAAACAAGGGGGGAGAGTGCTGTTGGGCTCATGCCCTGTTTATGGGCTTGTCCACAGTATTTGGCTGGCCACAGGATACGGGACTATCCCACTGGCATGATCCAGCAGCCAGATTCGTCTTACATTTGGAGAGTTTCTGTCCAATGTTCCCTTTTCTTGGGGGGGGGGGAAAGGAATCTTTTGCACTTTCTCCTACCCTCCCTCCTTCCTCACCCCCTTTTAAAGTGTTGAAAAAGAACAGGCTTCCCCTCTTTTAACCTTCTATCATGCCTGCAGTTTACGTACCTGCGCAGCTCAGTGTAAATGGGCAGAACTTCTGGATGGCAGACAAAGGCAAATGCCAGGATGGGGATGGCGTAGGCCGTCTGTGAAAGGAGAGGGAGTATAAATCAATTCTCTGCTCCACTTGCCACATCTGAAACCCAGGACTTCCAGCATATCCTTTCTGCTTTTTTTTTAAAGGAAGGGCAGAATGCGTCTTGCTCCAATAGCAGTTTCAATGCACAGCACTTGGTGCTACCGGAGCTGCAAAGACTCTTGCACTGCAGTTTCCAAGCACCCAACAACTAGCTGGCTCTCAAGCACTTTGTTAAGCTCTGTGCATTGGACTTTGGCTCACCCATTTCCCTCCATACAGTGCAGTGCAAATGGGGCTCCCTTTCTCACATGCAGTGTGGAAATGGCAGCCGATTGGGCTGATGGAATAGCAACACAAACCTCTACTTTGCTTGCCCAACTGGACGTCAGGTAAGCAACACAAACCCTATCCTTGCTTTGCCATTCTGACTGACTTCTATACAGTGGTACCTCGGGTTACAAACACCTCGGGTTACAAACACTTCAGGTTACAGACTCTGCTAACCCGGAAGTAGTACCTCAGGTTAAGAATTTACCTCAGGATGAGAACAGAAATTGTGTGGCAGTAGCAGGAGGCCCCATTAGCTAAAGTGGTCCCTCAGGTTAAGAACTGACCTTCGGAACGAATTAAGTTCGTAACCAGAGGTACCACTGTACTGGCAAGGATGTGACATGCGTAAGCCAATTGGACTGGAATCAGAGGCCTGATGAGCCATATTTGGTCTGAGGAGTGGAGGTTCCTACGCCTGCTATTAAACAACACTAAAATGAATTGAATTATTTTTTGGATCTATTACTTCTTACTATTATTATTATTATTATTATTATTATTATTATTAAACATACTGGGGCAATGAAAACAGGAGCTACAAATTCAGAAGTAAGCTACTGGCAAAACTGAAAAGCAATGGCAAACACTGATGTCAATGCCATGTTTAAATTTCCAAAATGGAAGGTGTATATTTACACATTTTTCTGTGCTCTTTCCCTTCCTGTGCCTTACCATTATAGTAAGGTTTTGACACTGGGGCATCATACTAGAGTTTGGCCATCCTTTGCTTCACAACTGGTATATGAGAATTCATGGCAATCTCTGCAGATTGAATCTTTCTAAAAGTGAGAAGATAAATTACCATTCTAGCACATTAAATGCTTCATCTGCATCCATGAACTTCTCAGTGGCTTCTTCACTATTATAGCATTACGGGAATTAATTATAGCAAAGGCTGTTCTGATATTACCTGAGAAGTTCATCCCTAAATATGAAACCTGTTCTTGAAGTTTATACTTAAAGAATGTCTTTTTTAAAACTGCTCAGTCAATTATGCAGGGAAAATTCAGCAGGTCCCAGTTCAGCAGGTCCATACCAGGAATTGGCAGCCTGTGACCTCAGGATCACATAACGAAGAGTGGGCGAAATGAGTGCCAGGGGAGTGGCAGAAAAGGAGGGGCTCCACCCATTTTTTGCACCAATCCTGCCCACCACTAGTAATGCCACCCCTGAGGAGAAGTGGCCCTTCATGGAAAAGGTTGCCCATTCCTGGTTTAAACTACCTTGATATGTTTTATGGGTAAAAGTAATCCTAGCTTCATTCCAGAATTACAGTCTCTGATGTCTACATAAACATTTTGGAAACAGAATTGTCAGGGGTTGGCTTCGTAATTTCTCAAATTATTGGAGTCCTCTGTCCATAGGAAGTCCAAATGAGCCAGTAGTTTTTACTCAAGTTTGCTTGGCATTCTTCTTCCTCACTTACTGGAAAATTAAATGCCTTCCTTGTATTTCTGAAGTAAAATGTAAAAGGTAAAGGATCCCTGGACAGATTAAGTCCAGTCAAAGGTGACTATGGGGTTGCAGCGCTCATCTCGCCTTCAGGCTGAGGGAGCCGGCGTTTGCCCACAGACAGCTTTTCCGGGTCATGCAGTCAGCATGACTAAACAGCTTCTGGTGCAATGGGACACCGTAACAGAAACTAGAGCGCACAGCAACACTGTTTACCTTCCTGGTGCAGTGGTACCTATTTATCTGCTTGCACTGGCATGCTTTCGAACTGCTAGGTTGGCAGGACCTGGGACAGGGCAAAGGGAGCTCACCCCATTGCAGGGATTCGAACCGCCGACCTTCTGATCAGCAAGCCCAAGAGCAGAGGTCAGCATTCTAAGGTCTGTGGGCCAGTTCCGGCCCCAATGGGTTCTGGATCCGGCCCGCAGACGGTCCAGAAATCATCACATGGTTCTGATTCATATCGTTCGGAAATCGCTTCTGCTCATGCCCAGACACCGAAAATTACTTCTGCGCAGGCGCGGTTTTCGGCATCTGGGCATGCGCAGAAGCGATTTCCAGCGCCGTGGACATGTGCAGATGTGATTTCCAGCTTCACACTGCGCCGGCCCGGCCCACAGACGATCTCCATGGGAGTGATCCGGCCCATGCCCAGTATTGCTGACCTCTGCCCAAGAGGCTTAGTAGTTTAGACCACAGCACCATCCGCGTCCCTACTGCAGACCCACGTCTGAAGTATGCACACACACACGGGTTATCAGATCTCCCATAAAAACCTACAAGTTCACTTCTAAGCTCCTCATTTGATGCAGTTTCCCTATGCATTGCAGCCACGTTTTTAAAATAACTTTTTTACTCAAAATTAAAACAAATCATATTATCCAGAAACATATCATCCTTATTCACCCCCATTTTTACACCCTCCCCCCCACAGAACTCACCCACCCCCACCTCCCGACTTCCCTCAGTTCCAGTCTTTGATTTCTCTAAAAATGCGTTCTGCATGTTACACAGTTGTACAGATACATTTAGTGATATTTCAATAAAAGTTGTGAAGTTATTCAACCAGCTCAGTTCGCTTTGTGCGTCTCAAATACTTTGTAAAGGCCATTCATCTTTCACAGATCTTGTCCCGTAGTACACAGCCACATTTTTAAGCCCCTACACGTCGCCCCCCAGAATCCTTTTTCAGGATCCTTCCTAACTACCTGGGAGTTGACAGTGAAGACTTTCAGGAGCACAGACATCATTCATCATCAGACCCCAAAGTGCCATTGTTCCCATTATAGTAGACGGGGGGCTTTTCAGAGTGCGTCCCATTGAGGGGGCAGGGAATCTCAAATTTCTTGTAGATCAACCTTTAAGGCGGGAATGAAAACTGATGTTTGAATACCAAGCTTGGAAAAGGAGCAGGGAGTGGGGGGAGGAAGCTGCCCTCAAAATACTTTTCCCCGTCAAGCACCAGGAGCCCTGGATACCCATTTCCTATCACACCTGGCAACACAATTCTCCAGGTGGGAGAAGACGGCGCTTCTGAAAATTCCCATCAACTCACCGAGATGAGGAAGAAACACATACAGGTGAGGGAGAGCCCACTGGTATAACCAAGATAACCTGTGAGGAGAAGGAGGGAGAGAGAGAGAAAGAGAGAGCACATCAAGCTTCCACATAGAGTAAATGATAGAAAGGATTAGAACAGGTCCTCTGTTCAGTTCTCTTCAACCTGCTTGTAAACAACGCCATTTCTTGCTCACCATGTTATCTCCATGCCATGGGTAAGCAAACTAAGGCCCGGGGCCCAGATCCGGCCCAATCGCCTTCTCAATCCGGCCCGCAGACGGTCCGGGAATCAGCTTGTTTTTATATGAGTAGAATGTGTCCTTTTATTTAAAATGCATCTCTGGGTTATTTGTGGAGCATAGGAATTCGTTCATCCCCGCCCCCCAAAATATAGTCCAGCCCACCACATAGTCTGAGGGATGGTGGACCGGCTCACGGCTGAAAAAGGTTGCTGACCCCTGCTCCATGCCAACAAAAACAGCACCTGTTGGACCTCTCTGCCTATTATTCTGCTAAAAGGCACAAGAGCCCTGATCACAAACAAACAAACAAACAAACAAACAAACAAACAAACAGGGTTAGGGCTGAGGGGAATACTTGAAATTAAAATTTCTGCAGTTTTGCTGGACTAGGAAGCACATTTAGGCCGCCATACAGAGGGGAAGTTGGGGGGATAGGGCGAACATATTTATTGGGTGCTTCCAGAACACCACTATTTTGTGACGGGGTTCAATCGTGCACCAACAAATTCAGGTTGCACAACATAAGGTGAATAGGCACTGTTGCAAAGCAAACCCGCTTCCCCTAAAAGAATCAATACTTTTTTCACAATAAGGAAAAGTGACAGGAAAATGCACTGGATAGCGTGAGATAACGCTTGCCCGACTTCCACGCAAACAAATCAGACCCAAGTGTTACATGAAAAGCTATTGCTGTCTAACCTCTCTGCAAACTTTGTGCCAACAAACCAGAATGAATGCTCCATAAATAGGTTGACTGAAGGGGCTGCCGTGATTCACATGGGCAGAGGTCTGCTTGCAGTGGAGACAGTGGCTTCCTTAAAAATATTTATTACTTGATCAGGAAAGGGTGTGTGTGTGTTGTCTGTGAAAGGACCCTCTTAATGGTGGCCACGGACCACCCCTATCTTCATTCCAGGAACATTCTGGGAACACAGAGGTAAGTGGCAATCTACTCTAGAAGTAAACTTTGACACCTATTTATTTACTTCAAATAAATTTCTTAAGACTGGCCCAACCCCCTGCAACAGGACATACAGATTATTCTTCACCCGCAACATTTCCCATGGGCATGCAAGCATACAGTAATTCCCCAGAGGAAGTAGCAGGTTTGATGGGACAGTGTGAGAACAGGATGCTACTCATATGATGCCAAAGCTGATTCCCTCCAGCAGAGGGCGGGAGAGACACAAACAACACACAACATTGCCTTCAACTCTCAGGGAAGAAGGAAGGAAACATTCACTGCAGTCACACACACACACACACACACACACACACACACACACACGGCCGTCTTTAGCATATGCACCACCGAGGTGCAAAAATCCGCCCAGCGCCCACAAATTTAGTTTAGCCCCCAAATTAAACATTATTTTGACTCACCCGCCGGAGCGCCAATTGCAATCACGCACACCGCCATTGCCACCTATCGTCTGCCCGATCAGCGGAAGCAGCCACCTGTCACTCACAATTGACGCAGCAGCAACCAATACACAGCGGACATTGCCGCAGTCACCAATCGCCCACCAGGTAGATAGTTAAGAGCTTAGGCGGCTTCAGCAGCGGGCGCCTGGCGCCCCCCAGAATTCGGCGCCCGGGTACCCCGCACCCCTGGGTAAAGATGGCCCTGCACACACACACAGCATGGCTGGGCCACTGCTTATCCAAGTGCACCCAAGCAAAACACCAGGGACAGATGCTCTCCACCACTTACCCAAATGTTTCATCATAGCCAGAGGTAGGATGACACCAACGCTGACAACGATGATCAAGACATTCCCATTCATGTACCACTCACTGAAAACAAACAGTATCAAGGTCACAACAGCCAATGGATGCTATGTTTCCCCCCTCAGGTGAACAGAGCCAGAAGTAAACAGGACTCCTGTCCTTCAATTCCAAGAGGGAATTCGGGCAGTTTTTCTTGCCTTTGTGCAATGAGCTAGAATTCCCCCTTCTGCACAGTGGCTGGGAAGCACAGGGTCCCAGTTTCCTTGGCATTTGCTCACTCAATCCCGTCCCCTCCATTAAATCTATATGGATATTAATGAGCAAGAACAACCAGCAGAATACTTCCGAGACAGGAAGCCATGTTACGAAAAGCAACAAACGCACCTGGCACCCTCAAGGTCTAGCAGCTTTTATAAACTTTTGGAAAGCTGCTGTCCATGTCATCAGAAAGCTTGTGCACATGGCAAATGCCTTTTAAAGTTATTTCTGCTGCAACAGACTCAGGTTTGCCATTCCCTGCTACTGTAATGTGCTCTGCGTGGGGCTTCCCTTGAGATGGATCTAGTCGCCACAGATAATGCAGAATTTTGCATCTGGACAGCTGAGAGGAGCCACTGGGCATGCACACCTTACACCAGTGCTGAGGATGTGCACTGGTTGTCAGTCAGCTACCGGGTCACGTTGAAGGTCTTGTTGACACACAAAGCTCTGAAAAACTCAGGTCCAGGTTCCCTGAAAGATCACCTGCCTTGTAAGCCTTTGCGGCATCACACCCTACAGAATATCATAAGGCGATGGCCCAAAACAGGCACTTTCTGTTATTGCCCCTGCACTGTGGAATGTGCTACCCTTTGCCATACAGGTGGCCTCATATGTCTTGGAAAGAATTATCTTCTGCCCAGGCTTTCTCTGACCCATAAGATCAGAGCCTGTTTTCCATCCTCTGGATTTCTGTTTCACTGATTTTTTGCATGTTTTTATGTGTTTCTATATTGTGGTTTTAACCGTTTTAAGACATATTTCTATTTTATTTTTTAATGGTATATTGTTTGTTTTTAGACTGCACTCCTTAACTAGACAGTTTATAAGATATCTTGGATACCAAACGCTAGGAAAGGCCCTCTGCCAGAAACCTGGGAGATCCAGCAGCTCTCAAGACGAGATGGAACAGCGCTGGATGAACCAGACTGTATAAGGGAGCCTCAACAGAATATTGATAGCTTTAATTTTTAGCTTTCAAAAACAAACTTTCCTAACCCCAGTGACTCTAAGTGAGAATAAAAAACCACAAAGCATCTTCTAGACCAGGGGACTACCCTGAGACAGCATTTTGCGGGAAGTGAATTTACCTGTACATAGTGACCCCCCCGACCCCCTTTTAGTCACTCCACATAATCAGCCCAAATACAGTCATACCTCGGGTCGAAGTAGCTTCAAGTTAAATATTTTCGGATTGCACTCCACGGCGACCCGGAAGTAATGGAGCTCGTTATTTCCGGGTTTCACCGCTCGCGCAGATGCTCAAAATGACACCACGTGCATGCACAGAAGTAGCGAAATACGACCCATGCACGCACAGACACGCAGATGCGTCTTACGTTTACTTCAGGATGCGAACGGGGCTCCGGAACAGATCCCATTCGTATCCAGAGGTACCACTATACAGTGGTACCTCGGGTTACAGACGCTTCAGGTTACAGACTCCGCTAACCCAGAAATAGTACATTGGGTTAAGAACTTTGCTTCAGGATGAGAACAGAAATTGTGGTGTGGCGGCAGCAGGAGGCCCCATTAGCTAAAGTGGTACCTCAGGTTAAGAACAGACCTCCAGTATGAATTAAGTTCTTAACCTGAGGTACCACTGTAGTTGGTCAAGGGACTATAGACGACTGGCGGAGATGACTGGCAGAATCCGTGACCAGGCGAAAGAGACAGTGGAAGAGGACTGGAAGAAATTCAAGATATATCTTAAAAATTGTTGTAAAATTGAGGAATGTTAAGATGTCAGGGAAATGGGAAACAGAGAATTGCAGCTCTAATTAATAAGTCAAGGAAAAAATTAAAAGAATTGATTTGAATAATTAGTTAATTGGAGGAGTTGCTGAAGAAATTCAAAACAAGGATGTGGAAAAGGGGAGGTATGGGGAAGTCTAGGAAGCTAGGTGTATGAAAATAAGTGTATGGAATTATACAAGTTTATATGTTTGTGTATTGTTTATCGTTTGTTTTTATTTTGTGTGTGGAAAACCAATAAAAATTTATTTAAAAAATGAAAAAAGAAAAGAAATTGTGCTCTGGCGGCGCAGCGGCAGCAGGAGGCCCCATTAGCAAAACTGGTGCTTCAGGTTAAGAATAGTTTCAGGTTAAGAACGGACCTCCGGAAGGAATTAAGTTCTTAACCCGAGATACCACTGTATAGGTGTAGCTTTTCCTTTCCTTATGAGTGAAATGGAAGGCAAGTTTTCTTCAACCATGCTCCGTGAAGCCCACCAAGGACTCTCCTAGCTTCCAGGGCTACATTCAGCCGGCACAATGGACACCAGAACTCTGTAACTTGGCACCATCTTTTCTATATCTATCTTTTCAATAGCCAGTGTGGCAAAATGGTTAAAGTGTTGGACTAGGAGCTGGAAGAGACCAGGGTTCGAATCTCCACTCAGCCATGAAGTTCAATGGGTCACAATCTCGCAGCCTAACCTACCTCACAGGGTGGTTGTTAGGATAAAATTGGGGGTGGGGGGGGAGAAGAACCACGTACACCACCTTGAGACTGTTAGAAGAAAAAGGTGGTCTATAAATATATAAGAAGTAAATAATAAAAAAATTCCTTCCAGTAGCACCTTAAAGACCAACTAAGTTAGTTCTTGGTATGAGCTTTCGTGTGCATGCACACTTCTTCAGATACACTGAAACAGAAGTCGCCAGATCCTTCTATATAGTGAGAAGGTGGGGAGGGGTATTACTCAGAAGGGTGGTGGGAATGGGTGATTGGCAGATAGCTGTGATAAGCCTGTTGACGACTCTTAACGACTGCAATAGGTCTTACAGGAAAAAGCAAGGGGTGAGAAGGCAAGGGGTGAGAAGGCTTTTCCTGTAAGACCTATTGCAGTCGTTAAGAGTCGTCAACAGGCTCATCTCAGCTATCTGCCAATCACCCATTCCCACCACCCTTCTGAGTAATACCCCTCCCCACCTTCTGACTATATAGAAGGATCTGGCAACTTCTGTTTCAGTGTATCTGAAGAAGTGTGCATGCACACGAAAGCTCATACCAAAAACTAACTTAGTTGGTCTTTAAGGTGCTACTGGAAGGAATTTTTTTGTTTTGACTATGGCAGACCAACACGGCTACCTATCTGTAAGTAAATAATATTTATTCAACTAATGGGCCCACTTTCTCCAACAGTAGCAGCCCTGGGCCTCAAGGCTGACTGAGGAAGATTCTCCCTCACAGAAACATAGCATTTTGATTTACTGTTTTTAACAGCTGGGAGTGAGAGGTTCAAACAACATGTTACACAACACAGCTATGTGAAACATTAGCCAGAGGTTACTTTGCCACGAGGCAGCCTTGGGGACGGGGCGGGGGGCTGATTTTTGGTGCAGGAGCGGCAGGGAACGGAGGGGCGCTTAACCTTCTTTCTGGTCACTTTCCTCTGCAAAAACTCCTTCTCTTCCAGCCACTTTTTCTCCTTCCCTTTATCTAACTCTGGACTGGATAATGTTACAAGACAGCTGTGTTTCGATGTGGCAGTTTGGCCCCAGGTTCAAAGCGAACGTCAAGTGCAGGTGTCAGGGGGCAGGTTGTAATTCACTTGGGGGGGGATGTGCCCTATGCGTTTCTGTTTGAGGGGGGTCGGGTCCTCCAATTCAGGACACTGCTGAGGGACGGCTGGGGGCAGCAAGGCCCCAGAAACTGCTCAGGGAAGGCATGTGAAGAGGGCAGCAGCAGCAAGCCCCACGCTGGGAGCCATTTATAGAAGGGAAATGGAGCCAAAAAAGGCCAGCTGCTTCCCTCCATAAAACGGCTCCGAAGGCCTCACAGCAGAACTAGCTTGAAGGGAAGGGCCAAGATTGGGGGGGTGGGAGAGAGAGAGAGAGAAGGGGAAGAATCCTGATCCACTTTCATCGCGGGTCACAGTGGTCCTACGATGGCTCCAGAGGGAAGGTCAATGCGGGTTCACATCCTTAAAATAACCACGGATGTGATTGGGTGCTGCCCCCAAGTTGACTCTGAGGTGAAACTACTGGGTGTTCTCACCGGCTCAAAAACGGATTTTAATTTAAAAATCTGTTGGCCATCGTTAAATAAAATAAAAACAACTGTTAGTAAGTTGAAATCACACAAAAAAACCTCCCGTGGAATAAGTCGAGGAATGCGTCCAGGCAGGGCCAGGGAGCCTGGAGCAACCGTCCAGGACTCCAACTCCCATCAGCCCCCACCAGCAGAGCCAGTGGCCAGGGATGCTGGGAATTCTAGTCCAACTATATCTGTAGGGCTGCAGGTTCCCTATGTCCATGCCAGGGATTGTGGAAATGGGTGTTAATTGCTTTAGTAATACTTAGGGGGTACCACTAAAGGGAGTAGTACTCAAGTCTGGTTGTCCTCAACATGGTGCCTATAGCAGTAATGATGCCCAGGGAGGGAGGGAGGGAGGGAGGGAGGGAGGGAGAAAGGAAGGAAGGAAGGAAGGAAGGAAGGAAGGAAGGAAGGAAGGAAGGAAGGAAGGAACTGAAGACTGTGTGTGTGTGTGTGTGTGTGTGTGTGTGTTTCTCCTCTTCCTCTGGGAGTTTGAGCCATTGTTGTTGTTTATTCCCTCTCTTTCTTGACAACAGTGGGGTGGGGGGGAGTGTCAGTGTTTGGTCCCCCTCCTAGCAAGGGTTCTTCTGTATATACCTGAAGAAGTGAGAAGTGAAGTTACAGGGAACCAGGCAGAGGGCCTCCTCAGTGGTGGCACCCGCCCTGTGGAACACCCTCCCATCAGATGTCAAAGAAATAAACAACTATCTGACTTTTAGAAGACATCTGAAGGCAGCCCTGCTTAGGGAAGTTTTTAATGTTTGAAGTTTTATTCTGTTTTTAATGCTCTGCTGAAAGCCGCCCAGAGTGGCTGGGGAAACTCAGCCCGGATGGGCGGGGTATAAATAAATCATCACCATCATTTGTTGTTGTTTTCCCCTCCATTCTGGAAGTTTGTGCAGGGGTGGACTTTGGCAACATTTTGCAAAATGGTGCCCTGAGCAAGACCAAAATTTGGCACCCTCAAATGGATCTAGCAGATCTCCTCAATTTGGTGTCCCTCAGCTTGGCACCCCGTGTGGGGCAACCACCCACACCACCCTAAACCCGGAACTGGTTTGTGTTTGTTGTTGCCCTTCCTCAGCCCTGGGGCTCTGATGCTTCCCACCCAAACACCCACGTTCTGTTTCTTGGTTTGCCATCCCATTTCCCCCTGCCAGCCATACTTCTTTCTGGGGTCTGTTTGCTTGCTTTCCAACCTCCTTCTCTCTGGGTGACAGATGTTTTTGTCACGTTCCCACCCCTCTCCACACACACACACCCTGCCTTGGAAAGATATGGACTCTGTGCATTTTCCCTCTTTCCTGCTCCCAGCCAGGCTGCCTCCCTCTCAGCATCTACAAAACACCCCCCCACACACACATTGTGAGCAAGCAGGGCAGGGGGCAGCAAATTGTAGCAGAACACACTTCCACAGGCCACCACGGGCATTTTGTGGCCTGCCGTGGCAACCATTTTGTTGCGGTGCTCACAGTTCTTTTTGAAAATGCCAAAAGCGCTCAGAAAGGTTGCAGATGATCTGGGTTAAGCAAGATCTTTTTTTAAAAAAATAAAAATAAATTTTTATTAATTTTCCATAAATAAAAGAGAAAACAAAGTAAAAACATAGATAAACACAAAAACGACTTCCCCATACCACCCCTTTTCTGCATTCTTGTTTCAAGATTTTCCAGCAACCCTTTCGTATTAAACTTATTTCTATTTCGTAAATTTAACTTCCATAAGATAATAAAACAACTGTAGTTCTTTATCTCTTATTACCCTGGTCCTCTAATTTTCCAAATTACAACAGTTTTTAAGATAAGCAAGATCAAGTGAGGCCCTACTAAGTCACCTTCTATTTCTTTTTGGATTAAATTTGTACACTGAGTGTGGTCACTGACCCTTCCTAATTTTTATTTAAAAAGAAAACAGAAACAACAGAGGGGGAAAGGTCAGTGCAGGACTGAGAATTGAAGTGGAGGTTGTTTTGCTTACCCATTGTCCCCTGACAGCCCTAAGAAAGTTTGGATCACGAGTGGCAGCTCAGATTTAACGATAAACAGGTAGCTGGACATTGCTGTGAAAAGAAAAAGCTGTCAGGAGGATTTCCCTTCTTGACCCAGCAGGAGGAGAGCAATCAGCAGGGCCGCAGGACAGAATTTCCCCACCATTTCGCATACGAGCCAAATCAGGTAGCAGGCATGATGCGGAATTCATGAGAAAACCAGAGTTTCGGCACCCTATTCAGTTCTTTGCCCACACATTCTCTCCTGCTAGCATAATACAGGATAAATTTGGCACAAATGGACTAAACGTTCCGGGCAGTATCCAGGTAACATGCCCTGTCAGCGCAAGGATTTCCACTTGCACAATGAGACCTTCTCCTCCTCTAATCACCCTGTGCAAGCCCCACACCCTCCCAAATCTTCTCCCAAGGGTTGGGGGAACCCCTGGAGCTGTTTGGGGGGGTTGCATGGAGGGGGGGATAGTGGGAGGAAGTTCTACTGCACAAACAGAAATGAATGTATGGGATGCTTCTTGCCATTATGTTGGGAGACAATCAATAACGCCTACAGGTTGTGGAGCCCCAGACTTGGGGGGGTTGGGTGGGCTTTGTGTTACTGTGACAGATTGTTTCTTAGCCTCACAGAACATCTATGGGTCAGAGCAAGCCCTTACCTCCTATGTTGTGTATTGAGATTATCACAGCTGCAACCACTTTGCCCCCGTGGCCAAAAGCCCGGAGTCCCAGCTGTTCGTAGGCTCTAATTCCTAGATGAAAAAGAGAGATGCAGATTGTTGTTGTTATTGTTTTTTTTTAAAAAAATGGCTAGGAAATCACCTTACTTGTAACCCATGGCTCCCGGTTAGTGTCACCGCTCCTCCAGTTCAGCCACCTCCCCTCTATTTACCAGTGAAGCTTCTCCCATCATGAACATCGCCACTCCCCACTCCAGCTCTCACGGGACGGTCCCTATCCTGCCTAGTCAGGAAAGTGTGCGATTCTACGTTAAGGCAGTGAAAGGAGGCCCAAACATGCTCTTCAGGCATAGCTTGCCTGGTCACAGCTGACACAAAACACTACAGAGATCCAAATCAATTGCGAATGCCAATTCACCTCATGCCTCAATCATTTTAAAAACCAGGAATCTGGGCACTTTGGAAGCTGCAGGTGGCAGAAGTTGTGCAAGAGAGGCTGAGGAGAACGTTTAAAGCATGGGTTTATCTGCCATGGCTTGTCAGATTTGGCAAGTGTTGGTACTGTTCCCAAAGCCTTCAAAGCCTCTTCAGCCAGAGGCAGAACTGAGCCTTGGTGAAGACTTGACTTTTTATCCCCAAAAAAGTTTTTGATTGAGTTTCCACTGAAATGAGGTTGCATTTTAATGTTTTAATGTTGTATTTTAATTTTGTTTTTAAGCTCTATTTCAATCAATTGTTTTTATTTGGTGTTAGCTGCCCTGAGGGAGGGCGGGGTATAAATAAAAATTATTATTATTATTATTAGTAGTAGTAGTAGTATTAAAAATAAAGATCTGTGCACTCACACATACAGCGTGTCAGCGAAACCCTCTAAAGACACTGTCTGACTCCAGACAGAGGAATGAAGTTTCCTACTCCCCATGGCCAGAACACTTTTGATTTGTGCCTCTTGGGGCGAGTACAGATGACATCCGAGGAGCAGCGAAGGGCGTCTACCGCTGCCCACAACTTACCCACAACGCCAGCGCATTTCAGCAGCAGGTGGATGGAGTAGGAGGACAGCAAAGCAATGCAGATCAGAAGCACCCTAGTGAAGAGATGGACAAAAGCAAGCATCAGCCACACCACTGTTGTCCCAGGTGCCGGGCCTGCCAACTCCCCAAGCTTCAAATCCAAACCTAACTCCCTCCCTTCCCACAGCCAGGCACAGAATCCCAGAGGCCACAGAGTCCTATCAAACCTCAGACTGGGGCAGTCCAACTTTCCATACCAAGTGGGCTACAAGTGTACTTTGATGTGGAACTTGTGAGCTGCACGCTTGTCTTGTTGGGAAGATGGGGAGCAAGGCCGACATTTGTCCTAGAGCCCCCCACCTTTTCCCTAAAGCTGTGAAAGCACTAAGTAGGCTTTAGGGAGGAGACTCTAGTACCCTGGCAAAGCCTCATGCCTCCTTCCCAACGCCTCACTTACCCAGATGTGGGAAGCCAGGGCGAGGGCTGGGCAAGGGCGAGAATCAAATGTTGGCAAGGGCAGCCAAAAAGGCATTGGGGGCCGAATGCGGCCCGAGGGCCATGTGGTGGAGCGCCCTGCTCCAGGCAGCACATCTGCTTCACATGCCGAAGATCCTGGGTTCCATCGCGGGCATCTCAGGTGCCTGAAAGCCTGGACAGCCGCTGCCAGTCCCTGCAAATGCTACCAAGCTAGACGATCTGGCTCTGTGTTGGGAGTTTGCTGCTCTGCTGCTGCTCAGCTGTGCTCCCCAGAGGCAGCTCTGTGTGTGCTGCCCTGCCAATGGCCTGTGCCCTTGGGTGGGATGAGTGGGGCGCGTTCCCACCCGCTTCCTTCTCCCCAGGGCTTTGAAACCTCCCTGGCTGGTGTGCCAGGCAGGGGCACTCACACAAAAAGGACGATCCCCGTGTTCCTCATGGCGTAGGCCAGGCCCAGGATGCCGCTGCCCATGATGGCGTTGCTCAGGTTGAAGACCGACATCCCGAAGGACGTCTTTCCCTCAAACTGCAAGTCAGAGGGGAAGGAAAAGCCAAAAATTAGGTCAGAGAAAAATGGTGGGGTACACGCAACACAAGCAAAGGGTTTCGCTTTTGTGGAGGGGGACAGACTGTGTTGTGGAAAATGCATTGTTGACAACGACAACAACAACAAAGCACAGCAGGGAAAGGGAGCCATACGACTTCCTGGACTACAGCTCCCATCATCCTTGACTGTTGGTTATGGTGGCTGGGGCTGATGGGAGTTGGGAGTCCAGCAATATCTGCAGGGCCACAGGTTCCCCACTCCTGACGTAAAGGGACAGGCGCCTATGGCAGAGTCTAGGAGCCAGGAAGAAAAACGAACTTGGAGAACATGATGTTCATGCTGGTCGTTGGGTCAGGGGTGGGGGTCTTGGCTGGTAGGAGCCATGTGGGAGGCAAGGCGTAGTGCAAACATTTAGACCAGCCTTCCTCAACCTGATGCCTTCCCGCTGTTGAAGGACTACAGAGCCCATCATCCTTAATCGCTGGCCAGAATAACGGGCTGATGAGGGTTGCAGACCAGGGGGAAACCTGGACGGTTGCCGACTGGTGAAGCTCCTCAGTTCAGACTGAGGACCTGGGAGATGCAGGGCCTCCTCTGCTCAGGCCTCAGAGGAGCTGGAGCAGATTGGGCTAGTGAAAGCCTCTTGAAAGGCAGAATATGGGAGGGGGGCAGGAGGGGGCTTTAAACTGGCAGGACGGTTTTGACGCGCAAAGTATGAGGAGGAGAGACAACAGCAGGACTGGCAGTCAGCTTCTAGGAGAAGAATGGCCAGAGTTCAGAACAGACAGGTCTAACTCTTTGACATGGAAACTCAACTTTAGCATCCAACAGATACTGAACTAACCATTGTAGTCGGATTCAGAGGGACTGGCATCCTTCAGTGAAAAATTATGGCTGTGGGGTCTGGTTATCTGCTGGGTGCGTAGTTTGGCCCTCTGGGTTTGATGCCTCTTCTCTTAAAGAAATATTTTAATTATAATAATACTCTTTTAAAAGGGGACAAAATGGCACAGACATCACCGGGGCCTGCCCACCCATGAGGCAAGCCGAGGGGACTTCCTCAGGCAGCAGCATCCATAGGAGCAGCATTTCCGACCTCCAAGAAAGGCATGGTGGCATCAATGGCTGAAGTAAACATGCTGGAGAGCGGATCCGCTGCCTCCTTGGCAGCCCTCCCCCCAATGTGGCCTCTTGGCAAATAGGAGGCACCGATGGTCTCCTCCCACTCCTAGGGAGGAAAGGGGGGGGGCTGCCCTCTGGAGTCTCCTGGGTTCTGTACCCACCCAGTGTGATTCAGAGCAGGCCCCTTCCCACACACACCACTGCCTTTGATTCCCACTTCAACCACCAGGGAAGGTTGGTTTGATCCCCCCCTTTTGTGTCCAATGTTAAATCTTCACTCCCCCTTTGCTCCCGGGTTGGGGGTGTGCCATTTTGTGGCCTCAGGTGTCAAACCGTCTTGGGCCGGCCCTGCGCATTACAGCAGGGACCAGTGTGCTGCCATTTACATCACAGATGAAATTCAACAGGAGCCCCCCAACACTGCTGCCTGCCACCACCTACTATGCCTACAATAGATGCTCTGTGCTACTGGAGGGGGGGGCACAGAGGCAGAATGGCATTTCCCCATGTGCAAAATAAAGTAGACTCTGCATGGGAAATTGTACAATCCTGCTCCAGATGCACAAGCTGCATGGTATTTGTCTGCTGCTTGAAAGTTTATTTTTTGGGGTGGAAAAAAAATTATGATATTGAGATGTACAGGACTTGATGAACTGTTTGAGCGAAAGGCTCTGTTCCGATATGCGAGACTGGATGCCAGGCTAAGACCTAGCAGCCCCTATGGAAGGAAAACGCTTTGGCCAAAGAAGATCAAGAAGACGATTGGCAAAATAAATTACTGAACTATGCAGGGCTATTTATTACAAAAAATGGCAATTGTTCAATGCATATTTTTTAAGCTTTGTGTACAGATTTTTACATTAGTATAACTTTTAAAAGTCACTTGTAATAAGATGAAGAAGGTTTTAAAATTGGATTGTTAAGTATATAAGGTTCTATGGACGTGCATAAACAAGTACCGTATTTTTTGCTCTATAAGACTCACTTTTTCCCTCCTAAAATGTAAGGGGAAATGTGTGTGCATCGTATGGAGCGAATGCAGGCTGTGCAGCTATCCCAGAAGCCAGAACAGCAAGAGGGATTGCTGCTTTCACTGCGCAGCGATCCTTCTTGCTGTTCTGGCTTCTGAGATTCAGAATATTTTTTTTCTCGTTTTCCTCCTCCAAAAACTAGGTGCATCTTGTGGTCTGGTGCGTCTTGTAGAGCGAAAAATACGGTACATTATAATGGAACCAAGAGGGGGAGTGGAGGGAAGTCGACTAAAAATTTATGGTTTAATTTGGTTATGAATGTTTTCTTTTCTGTTTTTTTGTTTTGCTACTTTTGGAAAACCAATAAGTTGTTATAAAAAAATAAAAATAAATTATTTCTGAATAGGTTCCTGTTGGTCGTGAGCCTGGAGCCTGGAATCCAATGTAATGGATATAAATATGCTTATGTGCCCACAGTAAGCATCATTAATAGGAAATGGGCCACAGAGAATCAGCAGAAATTAAAAAAAGGGGGGGGGCAAGCAAGTGAATGAAGGGAGAAACTGTGGACAATGATAAAGACGGAATCTCAAAGGAGGAAATGGTTGCCTTGTTTGGGTGCAGCTCTTGCTACTGGGCTGTGCCACTGGAGATTGACTGGAGGGGTGCAATCACAATGCTTGAATGCTTCCCTAATATAATAAAATCCTTCCACATATAACGCTAGCATGTTGGGGCTCTTGCGGCTAGCCTCCTCTAGGCCATGCTGGTTTTCTGTTGGCATGAACTGGTTTAAATGGGAGATCCTTCCATGCCGCCTCCCCACTTGCCGTCTGAACGGAATGGCACCATCCAGGAAAAGCAATGGCATGCAATTCTCCTGGTGGCTTCAGCTCTGAAGTGGCCAAAAGGTGCATCTGGCAGAAATGAGGGCGGGAGGAAAGACGAGGAAAGCAAAGGTTGCAACATCCGTTGGTCATGCACAGAGGCCCTTGCCAACCCCATAAATTCTGAGTACGGAGGATCGTCCTATATATGGTTAGGGAGAGGGCCTGTGGACTGTTATACACTGGAGTTCAAAGAAAGCAGATATCCTGTACATTGGGACCTCTTAAGAATGGATGTCAATAGTCTCAGTTTCTACCCAGGGTGAGTTAGAATATCTGGGCTCTACGGCCACCTACATCAGTGAACTGGTTCAGTTTCTTGCTAGCAATGTGGGGCAGGAACTCCTCTTCCTCAGTCAAAGCACGCTCTTCTTCCTCATAGCTGGAAGGGAAAGAAACACAGAATGAGGGCAATGGACGCAGCCCCAGAATTGGGCATCAGTAAGAACCCCAGGCTCCAAGCCTGCAAAACGGCTCTGTCCAAAACAAATGCACGCACATTTTGTATCCGTCCCCCGCACCGGGTGCTCTGTTCTGACAGCTCAGCAAGCCAGTCAATTCCCCCCATCAAATACTGTCACCAGTTGATTTCCTGATGTTTGGCTGCAGTGAAGGCGAATCTAACATCCCAGCGAGGAAGGGTCATAGCTCAGAAGGGCCCAGGTTCAATCCCAGGCACCGCCAGGTAGGGCTGAGAAAGAGACCCCTTCCTCAACCTCTGCCAGTCAGTGTAGACCATACTGGGCTATATCAGGCAATCTCACTGGCTGGATCATCACCTTGTCGTGGTGAGTGGGCTTGCATGTTCCTATGACCCTTGTGAGCGAAGCCATTGGGAGTCTCGTACTCCCAGCAGGGTCACCCAAGGCGGTAAGGTCAAAAGGAAGGAGCTAGACAAAGAATGATCCAAGAAGTCCTCAATGGCAGAACAGGCGGATGATAACAAGCGGTATGTTACAATGGCTGTGAAGGCGGTTGAAGGCTGCAGCAGATAAGAATCTACCGGTCATCGTGATACTCATGCCATTGGAATAGAGCATGGGTAGGCAAACCAAGGCCCAGGGGCTGGATCCGGCCCAATCACCTTCTCAATCCGGCCCGTGGACAGTCCGGGAATCAGCGTGTTTTTACATGAGTAGAACTTGTCTTTTTATTTAAAATGCATCTCTGGGTTATTTGTGGGGCACATAGTCTGTCCCCTCACAACGTCTGAGGGACAGTGGACCGGCCCCCTGCTGAAAAAGTTTGCTGACTCCTGGAATAGAGCCTTACTGCAAAGACTTTGTGTTGGTCAGAATGCACTGATCTAGACACATAAAACAAATTCACACGCAGGCGTCTTCCTAAAACCCATTTTATGGAAGACAATCTCACTCAGCTACGAGTGGTCACCAAAGAAGAAGATATGAGGCAAAGGTCTGGCTCAGAGTAAGGCTGCTTCCTGTGTTCCTATTCTGCTTGAAGAACCAATCTGCTGCCTACGGAGCACACCTTGCCTTTAAAAACTGGCCTTTGTTTCTTAATAGTCTCCGTTTCTTTGCTTCGTTTTGTTTCTTTTCTTTAATTGTGTAACTGCAGACCAGCCCTGGTGCTCCAGGATAAAAGCTGAAGAGAAAAAATGTTGAGTGAATCATCCACGTTCACACAAACCTCACCTGGCGTAATTAAAATGTGTCCGTTTCTCTTTAATGTGATTAATTACTGCAAAAGCTATTTTCATTCTTTCACAACAACAGTTAATTAACTGCACAGTGTCAACTCAGAAGCAAGAACCAACCATTTCGGTGGGGCTTACTCTCAGGTTAAGCAAAGGATGGCAGCTTAATTTATTGCTGTCATCGGCCTAATTATCAAACCTGTTAATGATTAGGCTATCTTGCTTGTTATTGTTGCTCCAGCAGTGAAGGCTTTAAAAATGTGTGACCATCATTTGACAGCCTTGACACACCTGCAGAATTTTGACACATTCAGTATGGAGGCTCTGAAAGAACGCATTAGTGACTAATAAATTATTTGCACAGCCCAAGTTTACATGAAGGGCAAATAATAGCTGGGATCTGAAGCTGCTCATGAAAGAGGGGGAAATCTGTCCCTTCCCAATCTGCAGTGCCCCCCTCTTGGTGTTTTGTTGCTTAAATTAAAGGATAAGATGTGTTTCCCCCCTCATTCCATGCACAGAAGTCCAGGTGTTATATCTTACTTCAGAGGTGGTGATGGGACAGCATTTTCCACCACACCAGAGGGCTAACTGAGCTCAGGGGACACAGGGCAGGCCTTGAGGGACTCTCCAGAATCTGCCACCTGAGGCAGACCCCTTCACTCGGTCTAGTGGTAGGGCTGGCCTTGCCCCCTGCCCCATCTCCCACAAGAAGGGAACTCCAACCACCAGAACCACTTTTTTCAGGAAGCAGGAGGAACGAAAGCCCCATTCTGTGCAACACTGTTCCATCCACAGAGGGAAGCCAAGAGCCAAGTTTTGGAAACTGCCGCAATCCATACAAAATCAGGATATGATCCCAGTGCATTGATGGGACTTGAAACCTAAACCATCTGCTTCCCACTATCCAACCCAAGAGTGTAAGAACAGCAATCACATGAAAGGTATGGACAATCCAGTCCCCTACCAGTGCTCTCCAGGTATTTTGGACAGTATTGGGTGGGGCTGCTGGGACTTGTAGTCCAAAACATCTGGAGGGCACCAGATTAGGGAAGGCTGTGGTGCTCTTTCTCCAACCAGCCAGATGCTTTTGGAAAGCTTAAGCAGGACAAGAAAGCAACCACCCTCCCTTATCATTCATCCCCAAGATCTTGTCTTGAGACGCATAACACCTCTCAACGCAGCAGCTCTCCCTACCCAACCCAATCCCCCCTCTGATTTACTCTGATGTATTACAGTACACAGGGCTGCATCCAGCACTGCTGTCCTGCTCACCCAACACATTTCTTCTTGTGCAACAGGTTTTCTCCCTCCACTCCTTGTCGCTGCAGCCAGAGTTCAAAATTTCCCCCTGGACACCATCTGGAGATGCATGCCTGGGCATCCTTGGGTCTGGACTGTTTTCACGCACAATACCCCATCCCGTAGAATTTCTTCCATTCTCTTTTATCTGCACAATCAGAACGAACTTAAGGAACCAAAAAGTTGTCTTGGAAAAATGTGACTGTCCAGCTCCCTGGCCCCAAAATGGCAAACAGACATTCCGTTTTGGCAGTTGTAACCCTGGTTTAAGGAGGTATTTGGCTCCTAGCTTATATATCTGAGTTTCTAACACTGCCTGCAGCCCCTCCACAAGCACCCCCCCCCAAATCTGTTCTCCAAACAGTTGGAGGACCCTCTGGAGCCAATCTGAGGAGGGGAAGTGCATAACACCCCCCTCAAGACTCACCCATCTTCCAGGACAGCAGCCTTGTCACTATCCGGCAAGGTCCCATTGAGCTTTTCGGTGCTTGCATCCTCTCCCATATTCTGTAGCTCCATCCTGGTGATCCTCTGTCAGGTGTGTGTGAAACTATCTGGGGTAAATCGCCAAGTAGGGCAGCAGCAGGGGCAGCAGCAGCAACAGCAGAGCACACCTTGATCAGCAGCACACCTGGGGACATGGAGAAGTAAAGAATTCATCAAGCAATGCGCTGTAAGGTTTACGAAGGGCCGCAGGGGTTGGAAGAGGGTGGCTCCTGGAATCAAGATACCTAAATTCTCTTCTTCCCAGCTGCAAAGTAGGTGTGGAGGGAAGAGTCGTGAGGCGCTGCCAGGCATTGCCCCTGCCTTTTCATGGGGTTTACTGAGTGCCAGAGAACAGGCAGTGATTCCAACCCCTTGCCTAGAGGGGAGTCTGTCCCGACAGGAGGTGGGTGAGGAGGAAGGATGTTACCCAGTTCCCCTCCCTCCCTCCCTCCCTCCCTCCCTCCCTCCCTCCCCTTCAGGCGCAAGCTGGCAGGCTGCCCTGTCTGGCATTTCCACACATCCTCTTGCCACCCTGGGAAGGACAGCATTCCCCAGGCATAAACCCCACAGAAGCTCCCTTCTTCTAATACCACGCCGAGGGGAGGCAAATACTGCACTCAGAAGACACTGTGCAAAAATAAATCACGCTCGCTTTTCATACTCCATTCTGTTTCCAAAAAGCTATGGCCTTTTTTTCAGCTGGAACTCATGGAAACCCTGTTCCAGCACCTCTCAGGTGGGCGCCATTGCTATTATAAGAGGACAAGGAAGGCATTCAGGGTGAGTTAAAGCACCTCTTTTTCTAGAAAAACAGCACGGGCTGTCACAAAAAATTATTGTTCTCATTTACTCTTATTATTTCAATGCATCAGATATTAAATGTGTAACAACATTCTAGCTGCCTGTGAAATACATACAATAAACCTGTATTTCACTGGCTTTAAGAGGAAAGGTTTTGTAGCTGCTGCTTTGTGCCAGGACCCGGATGACACAAGGGGCAAAAAGGGATGGGATGGAAAAGAAGGGCAGAGATCTCCCTAATAGTGCAACGCCAGACGTGTGCCTGTGTTGTGAACAAGCCAGATGTCATGCCTGGGAAAAGCAAGGGGCCTTTTTTATGGCACGGAAAGTGTTGAGTCCTAGGATTTGAGGGAGCTGCCGCCATCCTGCAGGCGCTTCCATCCTGAGTGCTGCTATTTTGGGGTGGGATTCGGTTCCATATTGGCAAATTCAGACACCATGGTTAGAATTTATTGGGAGGTCTTATGCAACAAACCCACACGCCCCACACAAAAAAAGAGATGGGCCTTTTTGTGATAAGGAAAGTAAGGGGGAAACGCAGTGTGCTCATTAAATAGCTAATGTCCTTTAATCTTCTTTCATGAAGGGTGGCAAACAAATTTAGTTAATAACAAGAATCAGGATGAACGCTGAATATTAACAGGTCATTTGGAAGTGCCCTCAGTCAGAAGTAATGCAGGAAACAAAACAAAGACCACCCCCCCGACCCCTGTAAGACCCATTTAGTTTCAGTGAAGTAATACACTTTCCCCTTTAAGGAGCCCCCACCCATTAAGTCCAGACTCTAAAGTTACAATACTGCACCACTGAGTCTCATGTCCAGCTTTGGGAGGAAAGGTAACCCACAGCACAACGTGGACCGTCATGTCTACTCAGAAGTCTTACTGAATTTGGTGTGGTCAGGACTGCAGCCACAGTCTGTTAGGGCAAAAAAAGAGGAAAAGGGAACCAGGAATCCTGTCCAGGGATGGCAGCATTAGTTAGCTGGGAGAAGGGAGCTGCCTGGATCTCTTTAAGCCTGGATCTCCTTGGCCTCTTCTGATTTATGGCGTTGCTTGCTTCTCTGATACGCTTCGGATGACCCAAGTGCAAAAAAGGCCTGGGCTTGGCAGCGTCAGCGGCAAGGAGTGGCATTCTGTTTAACTCCTGGAATGAGATCTGCAGGCCCTGTCCAGGCTAGCAAACTTTCTAGACTCGGAATGACCTCATTCCTGGGGAGCTCAAAACATTTAACTCTGGTGGTGGGGATTGTGAACTGACATGGGGTAAGAGAGGACAGGCTGCGTATGTACATCAGACTTTGCTGAAGGGTCCTGCCAGACTAGGGTTTTTGTTTGTTTGTTTGTTGTTTGTTTGTTTGGATCTGCAACAGGCATTGATTCAGCAATAGTGCATAAATGGTGAATTTATCCTGGGCTGTCCACACAGCCATTCTGCTTATTTATTTCCCAACCTTCATCCCCAAAGCAGCCTAACAGTTCTTTGATGCTCAAAGCAATGATTCTTCAACATCAACTTCGTTGGACTGGTTATGTTGTGCGGATGCCTGATGATCGTCTTCCAAAGCAACTATTCTATTCCAAACTTAAAAATGGACAGTGTAATGCTGATGGTCAACAAAAGAGGTTTAAAGACTGTCTCAAAGCAAATCTAAAAAAAATGTAGTATAAACACTGATAACTGGGAAACACTAGCCTGCGAGCGCTTCAGTTGGAGAACAGACTTTACCAAAGGTGTCATGGGCTTTGAAGACACTCGAACTCAGGACGCAAGGGAGAAACGTGCTAAGAGGAAGGCACGCTTGGCAAACCCTCATTGTGATCAACACCCTCCCAGAAACCTATGTCCCCCACTGTGGAAGGATGTGTGGATCCAGAATTGGCCTCCACAGTTACCTACAGACTCATTGTTAAAACCGTGTTTATGGAAGACAATCTTACTCGGCTACGAGTGATCGCCAAAGAAGAAGAAGAAAGCTTTCTCTACGTCACCACATTCATCGTTACCTGGAGGGGCACTTTTGCTCTATAGCACAACAAAAGTGAGATCGCACGCATGCACACGCACAATCCAAAACATTTGTGGTGTGAAATGTTACAAGATTTCAGCAGGAAGCTATGGGACATGCAGAGATTGGAAATGAAGCTGTATGTCTGATCTTGACACCTCAGAAGGCAGGAACAGTATTGAAAGAGGGATCATGTATATACACCATGGTAAGCGCAGGTCATCGTGAATGCACAATGCAACGGGGCGTCTGGAAGGCCCCGAGGCTGCCAACAGGGATGAGAGATAAATCAGTTCCATTCACATTTTAATGGAAGCAGGCCCTAACAAACAAACAAACAAAAAACTGCACACAAGAATAAATGTATTAGGGAAAAGTGCATGCAAAAATGCATATGGTAGTGGAAATAACATACAAAAATGTGTTATATTAGGGGATACAGCTTTCAAATAAGTAAATGTACGGTGGGCAAGACTGCAGACAAAACCTATTAAGGAAAACATTAATTGATGTCAAGCCTTCCAAAAAAATAATAATCACCAACTTACTGCGGAAACAGGGCCAAACTAAACTTAAGATTAGAAAAATGTGAAACTGAGGGAAGTAGAAAAGGACAGGTTCATCCATCCCTAGCTGCCGGCCTTTCAGTTGGCTACTGAAGCTGTGTCTTTCACAGCCTTTCCCAGGAAATAACCATCACGGCCCCACAGTAACGGCTGCCATCCTAACCACTCTGCACCTGGGAGTGAGTAAGACCCACTGGACTTGGCAGGACTTGCTTTTGAGTAGACACAGTGGAAAATGTTTTCCATTCGTTAATTCCTTTTAGCGGTTCTCAACCTGTGGGTCCCCAGATGTTGTTGGACTACAGCTCCCATCATCCCGGAGCTCTGGTCTTGCTAGCTAGGGGTGATGGGAGTTGTAGTCCAACAACATCTGGGGACCCACAGGTTGAGAAAGGCTGCTGTAGATCAAGCTGCTAGGAAAGGCACCAAAGCAGTTGGTGGGGTTGGTCTTTACCCCGGTCAGCTGGCAAAGCCGTATCTGAGGCCCTCTGTAACTGAGGCCACTGTCTCAGGCAGCGCAAAAGGGCAGGCGAGGCCAGGCTTGCTTCCCCGCTCTTAGGCTTCCCCCCATTTCCCCTGAACCAACCACACCCTACAGAATATTGCAGTAATGCTGACAAGTCACACCACTCCCTCATATTGGCACCGGTTCCCCGATGCTGGTGGTACGGGGGCGAGACACAAGATGGATGCATGTTTTGGCAGAACAGATGGGGATCAAAGGCAGTGTCATCCCAAAGCGAAGCCGTTAGGGCCTTGGCGCCACCTCCCACCTTCGCAATTTCACCTTGAGGCCGCCCCCACCCCGCTGGTGGGAATGTTGCCCTGGTGGGAATGTGGCCCCCCAGGCTGGAAAAAGCTCCTTGCCCCTGCGAGAAAATACAATCACCTTTCTGCACAGTCTCCGGAACCAAGAAAGGGAAGGGTTAACGCTGTTGCCTGCACCTGGGAAAGTGCTCTGGAGGCTGGGTGGGGCAGAAGCGGCAATGGAGATGTCTGGCTGCTGCCTTGATCTCCAACCGCATCCTTAGCTCAATGCTACGTTCCCACAGAAAGATGCAGAACACCTGGATTTTTACCCTGGCTCAGGTAAGGGAATGAGGCCCAATAGGCATGGGGAAGGTGGCCGGGAGCCAAGTTAGGTGCTGAGTACCCACAGGTCTTTAAATGCAGGGAAAATAGAAAGCCATAACTTCTAGAGTACTGGGGGGGGGGAATTGATTCAGTCCACATTAAAAGGTGAATCTTATCAAATCTGCACTTTTCAAAACCATCCGAGGACTGGAACGCAGCTAGCTACCCACAGAAACAACCTGACTTTTGCAATGCAGCTCTTTGGCCAAGTAATGCGCACAGAAATATATTGGTTTAAAAGAGCTCATAAAAATAAATGTATTAGTGAAAATAACACACAAAAGGCATTGCATTAGGAGAAATCGCTTGCAAAAATGTGCTGCGCACAAACATGTTTAGTAGGGAAAATCTGCACTCAAATACTGAAGGATTTAGAAATGTGGAAAACTGGATTTATGACTGGAAATAGTGTATGAGAAACTGGGAGAACCCCAAGGCACACATCCTTCCATCCCCCGTCCTGGGTTATTTTCCCTCCAAAAAAAAGGGCTGCTGCCCCTTTTTCCTGGCATGTCATATTATTATTATTATTATTATTATTATTATTATTATTACTACTACTACTACTACTACTACTACTACAGTGGTACCTCGGGTTAAGAACTTAATTCGTTCCGGAGGTCCATTCTTAACCTG